TTTCTCAGATCAGATGATTTCTCAATTAAGATGATTTATTAATTTGGATAAAATAAGATTTCCGTAAAATACATTGGCCGTTACGTTTTAAAAAAATGTCTAAATTTCGACAGAAATGTTCACATTGTAAAGTTTTTGTTCTATTTTAAAAATATTTCGAACTTTAAAAATTCATTCAATCCTAGAGATTACGTTGCATATATAAAAATTCATTCGCTCTTTAAAAATTTACTCGATTTAGAATATAAAAACAGAAATGAGATCCTTAAGATTTTGTTGGGTTTTGAAAAATATATACTAAACTTCGAAAATACCAGCCTTTTAATAAACACATTAAATTTAAAACTAAAATGCAATCAATTTAACAAAAATGTGGTCCAATTTTTTGACCCTGTTTCTACTTTGTAGTGATGGCGTACTGCCGCTACTGCGACCATTATACCACGGACAATTCACAAAATTCTTGGTACAGACGAGTCCGGAAATGCCCGAACATTAACGAAACGGTCTTTTTCCTCTCCCCTTTCATTTGGCTACCAGTTTTAATCTTTGTAACAAATTTTTACAGTTTTGAGGAGCAATAAAGAAAGAGTGTTGACGTTAAACTGAATTTTATGTGGACAGGATAAGTCCGGAATGTTTGACTATTTCCGGACATCTGGGAGAGTGTTGGTCACGTGGACGTTGGGTGATACAGGACCCTTGATAAGAAAAGCAGTCGGAATTTGGGTCTGGTATCCAAACGGAATCTTAATATGTAGCGAGTTAAATTAGTTTCAGCTGACTCTCCGCGGCGAGATAGTATCTCGAAAAATTGTTTTTGCAAGTGGCCCTTATACGCTTCCGTACACATGTACAAGAGACGTTTTGCATCAATACCATGTTTTCAATGGATATATAAGAAGGGCACGAAGGAACCAATCCATTCCAGAGATGGAGGTTGCTATGCAAAAGCTTGCCCCGAATCACGAGACATGGCAACAGTGTCTTTAGTCCAAGGAACTCAAATTGCTATGTTTATGTGGAATAAGATAGCGCAGTGTACCAGACTTTATTCAAATTTAACTCGCAAAAGGCTTATTGTATGAATGGGCCTATCCATTATTGCCCGGCTTGAACGACCGGTCTGCAAACTCGCCAATAGACGATTGGCCGAGGAACCGACTAGAGAATAAAGGGAAGAGTTCCGTATACGGACGCCAGTCCTCATTCTCTACAGTGATCTATTAGCCTCCAGAAAGTAAAAACATGTCCAGAAAAGTTCAATTTAGGAAGGAAAAATCAAGTCATTTACTAAGAAAACACTTAGAATTTTGCAGGCCCATAGGGTTTGTGCACGGGGCGTCAAGTGGCGTCTGTATATGGAACTCTTTCCAGAATTAACTGTACGACTGACCGATTGACCGAAAAACCATTAAAGCCAACCAAACGACCAACCAACAACCAAACGTCAAATTAACGGACAAGCAAACCGAGGTGCAGCCTTTCATATCGCCGCACATGCAAATGAGTGCATCGTCTTTTTCCCGTTGTGTGGTTAAGTAATATATCTCTTTCAGGAGTTGAATGCGGGGGGAAAACCACAACTCTTTACCGAGAAGAGCCCTAGGGGCTTCATCCTTTATTAAAATGGGAAATAGGCCTATATCATATTCAAAGCTTCCTTCCTTGATGCTATCTACTCTCAAAACATCAGGCCACCAAGTTTGTTGGCCTTGTTTTTTTTTCTAAATTATAACGCATTCACACTGAATATTATTTTCTAAACACTTATCATCACGGCACCCGTATTCCTATCGAAAGTATGCACAGTGGTGGACTGAATTATTTTTCATAACAAGGAGAATTATTTTTTTGATCTCACTGGCTGGAGCCTGTTTGTGCAAGATACTGGCCGACCAGCCTTTGAACCCACAGACAAGCATATTTTCCATACTTCTTTTGGACAGAAGTTTGGTTACTTACCGCTTTTAACGGTGTTACCTGAAAGAGGTACTTTGCCCACTGTGAAAAAAAATACATATCATGTAGGATTACAAGCTGGAGAGAAGCTTTATTTTTTGTGTGAGAATTAACATAGTTAGAATTCTTAGCGATGTTTTAATTCTCTGTGCTTGTAAAAAAAATTCAAAAATTCCAACTTTGCAAACAACCCTATTCTACCGCCATTTAAAAGACTTTTTTTCTGAAAACTGCCAAGCCCCAAATCTACGCGGGAAACAGTTACTGCATTCCAGACATTTCAAACGCTTTCACGGTTTATCGACACAATTCACAAGGTATTCCAAGTCGCGTGACTTTTTAAGAGGGCCACTAAGCCAATTTCTTTGTGTTGTCCGTCTGCCTTTCGGCATTAAAATCTGTTTTCTCGTGTGGTGCTGTGTTGTATGGCACGGCGTCAGATCTACGGGCTAAATGAAGGCCTCCAACACCATGAATGTCAACAAAATATTTCGCCTTCACAGTGAGTTTTTCCATCTCTTAACGTAAAAAAGAGTGGGAAAATCTAGACGGTTAGTCCTCATCACTGCACGTTAAAAAGAGTGGGCGTTAATTCACTATATCAGGATGCAAAATATCCTGAGTAGGATATTAAAACAAAACAACAACCACCCTACATCCGAATGGTTTTCACTATGGGCTGTAGTCAAAAGGAAACTTCGCTTTGGAAGAATGGAAGAGTCACTCGAGGAGATGTCGTTCTTAAATAAGAGTGGTTTTTATTCTTGCACTATCTACGTCGAACGTTCATCCAAAGTACACATTTAAATTTGATTCGTGCTACCGACATTTCAGGGTCACTCGCACCTCAGTCATCTAACAGATAGGAAAACGGTGCCTACCCAAATGGGGAAAATTTGCCATCATGGCCAATGTATACAAAGAATAAGAGAACGCATCTACGGGTATCTGCGTAACTGTTATTCATAATACGTAACTTCAACTTGAGGTTTGGTTACTTTTTGTAGGAAGTTCGGGCAACCACGTGATTCTTTGTTAAAATTAAGATTGCTTGCGGTTTCGAACCTATTCCATAAGTTTTATAGGAGTTGCTCATATTATTATTACGATGAAGATATACTTTGTCATTAGAAAAAAGCACATTATACACACAAACTATGGGGATATAAAGGAGAATTTAGCAGGAGGAAATATCGGGCACTTTACATTTCCCCAAGTTAGACTTTTTCTTCGAAGAATTTCCGATGACGAGGGGCTGGAACTGGATCTGGGCGGCTGCACATTCAAACTCCGCCCCTCCTGTCTACCGATGAGTCACCCCTACCCGTCCGTCCGCTTAAAGCTCAGCCGAACAATTGGTGCCAAGCACTGTGGAGTATTTACCTTTTCAGTTGCGTCAAAAGACCGGTACGCCCGGTACACACGGATAGAGGTACTAAGTGATGAGGAAAAAATCGATCAGCGGTAATACAACACGACTACCGTCATCGTACTTCGGTCTGAAGTCCGAAGTCCTCCTTTGAAGCGAATTACTAGCAAATGCGACGACCTGGGGAAGTGAACTGTCGAGGAATCAGTCGTAGTGAGACCAGAGAAACGGCCAGACCTGTGTTGCTCGGTTTGTCAGTTGACAACTGACGCTAGCAAGCCTTCTGCGGGTCGGAAGGCTGACAACACCAGGACCGATCCATGCGAGGCACGGACCGGTCGAAGTCATCACAAAACGTTGGGGCTGGACCCTAAACATGCGGTAAGTCCTTCAAAATATTGCTTTCAGTCTGACTTCTGAATTAGTATATTTCCATAGTGTCTAAGTTGCACTGTGAAAAACACCTCAGGTGCCCCAGGAATACAATGATACAGCACTCACCCATAACGCACTTGTCCTAATTGACATGGAGATGTCTAGTGCAGGCATATCCAATACACCACTAATATGTGGTACGTGATGTACATGTACGACGCGAGCTTGCGCATTCACGGTGCACTTTCCATGTTTACGCAAGCCGTTTTGTAAGAGGCGCATTACGCAAATTATTTATCGTACATCATACATAAAATTGACACAAATTCGGGGGAATGTGGGAAATTGTGGCGTGTTACCAGGTGTCAATGTCACAAGTGGAGTTCGATATTCACTCAGTAAGGGGTACAGAATGCCCCTACCCAGCTGCGAGTGGCGGAAAGGATTTCCCTTCTACGTTGGGTTGCGGGAGTCTTACGGGAGGGATGGAGTGAATTTAGAACGTACACGAACGGTGACCTCATCAACTCGCATCATGGACTCCGTGAGTGGAAACGACTCTGGTCAATCCATAGAATCGTAAGTTAAGACAGCCCACAGGATTCTCCTTCAACTTGTTCGATCGATATTTTCTAATATATACACGTGTTTCCTTTTGCTGCCTTCCAGTTTAGCAGCGTCTTGAGGTCGTGAGATCACCCCGACCGTTCTGCCTTCAAAAACGTGTACTTGTGCGATAAGAGGAAAGATGCCTTGTCATTACTAATTCTGTGGTATTTGAATTACAATCATGAATGAAATATTGGAAGTGTAAGACCTGTCAGTGTTACTGGATATTATAGGGACTGTTGTAAACTCGTTTTCCCTCTTTGTTGCCATGCAATAGCCCATCTCCTATAGGTGTGAGAAAAAGACTTATAAAAAATAGGAGAAGGGAGGACTACTTGGGGTTACCGGATTACTTTTGCTGCTGCGACAGTTATAAGAAGAGAAAGAAGAGAGAAATCCGAAAATAAATATTACACAAGAGTCCCCATGCATGCACTTTCATGTTGGTATCTTTTGAGATTCCTACAACTTTTGAAGTCCATCATCACAGATGTACACACCAGCATGACCGTACAATCAGTGTTTTACATACAAATTGTGGACATTCCTTTGTACTCCCGTGGTTAATTAAGGAAACTTGGGGAAAATGCTCCTTTTTCTCCAAGTAGGATAACTCCTTTGAGCTGGTTTTCGGTGATGATATCCTGGACTGTTACTCTGTTTCAATTTGCCCCTCCCTGTGACTGAGTTTGTTTATGGTAGGCGTCCTCATCCTCTGCACAGCGTGCTGGCGCGAGTGGAACCCGTCTATTTTTAGCCCACGAAATCTTCCACCCCCTCATTCGGTTGGCTCTGGTGCGAGGGTGATCGAACGTACGATTTTGTTTGTATATTTGTTTACTGTCTGTCACTGACTCACAACTTAACCCTAACCCTCCTCAATCCTTCACCTGTTGGAGGACTGGGGAGTGTTAGGGTTAATTGACTTTCCAGACGATATTTGTGCGTTCTACATCGTAAAACCTCACCGGTTAGAAACCTCCATTGTAGATAGGGTACAAGGAAAACGTTCCGTTTTATGAAAACTTGTATAAAATCTACACCCTTTGAAAACGGTCGTTTGCAGGAGACCTCATCCCAAATCGTGTTTGTATCGAGTACCTTAAAATTACCAAAAATAAAAGGTGCTATAGGTTTGTTTGACTTCCTAGTCAACTTTGGCATTAAGAAGAAGTGAAACAGTGGAACTTGTACCAAGTCGGCCGTAATTCGTAATACGTAAAGGCCTACGTATAACAATTTTGAAATAATTCGTATAATTAGGTCATTTCTGGCCAGTTAAGTTGGGTATAAGCAGTCAGAAGGTTTGCGGATATAGGATTTTTGAAAGGAAGGATCGAGGTTTTGAAATTAAGTTTTTATTTTAAGGCATTGTGTTGTTGAAGTCAACATAGGTCTATTATGTAATCTTGCACTTTATCCCAGAACAGAACATTTTTGAATTGTCTCTTATAATTACATTTATGTCTATTTGAGCAAATTACGAACATTAGTCTAGGCGGTGGGAGGAGCCACGCAATCACTCCCCTCTCTGAACCTACCCCCTGATGCCCTCTTGAAATTCTTATCTGGTTACTAAGGTAATTACACACAAAAGCAACAAATCGGAGTATGTTTACCATTTGTTGTTGGCAACGAAGTGGTGTTCCTCGAATTTGATCAAGTGCTTGACTCTGGGTACGTAAGAGTTATTAGGACTTATCTTGGTCTCCAAGGTAATCGAGATAATCGTCAGGTGTTGGAAACTTGTTTGAACTTTTTTACACGCTGTTGTTAGCGATGAACTTGCTCCTCACCTGTTAGCAAGATAACGGTAACTCTAAGACAAAATAATATACGCTTAGTCGGTTACCATGGTAAATTAATTCATACGGTGTCGATTACGGACAGGTGGTAGCTGGGTATAAAATGAACTTCCAGTCTGCCGGCACTACAGTATGCCTTCTCGTTTGATCGTGGTGCCATGCACGCTACATCTATAATGATACGTCATCTCCCATGGAGGTCTACGATACCCAATTGATTGTGCGTTGCTCGGTCATCCTTTCTATTATACTCGGAAATACAAAGAAAGATTTTGCACAGCAGTGTTCCCAAGGCCGGCTTTGATGAATGGGCGTGCACTCTACACTTCTGAATAAGTTTTGTGTAACTGGCTGGATTCCTAAGTTGTCCCATTGTTGTCATTTCCTTAGAAGACAATACCTTTTCGGCCAACGCCCATAATGATTAATGAAGAATCATGAACAACGCTTGTTGTGCCTACTATGTTCGTCGTATTGGTGTCGACGCACACCAGGTACTAACTTGAAAAGAAAAATACTCAGGTGCATGGAGTCGGTTTGTTTTGGTTGAATAATGTCTCACGCTCAAGCCCCAACGCGTCATGGCAGTTTCATCATGCGTGCTGATCTGCCCTTATCCAATGAAGTGCTTAGTACGGAATGATACAGCAAATCCAATTACAGTATTGAAGATGACCGTTTTTAAGCTGCCATCATGAAATCTCCTCACGTAGTTGGTAATTGTGATTCAGGCTGCACCTCCAGCAGAGTTCGAGATTCGTAAAACTTCGGTGCATTCGTTAAATCGGCACATGATGTCAAGTAACTGTCTTAAAATAAATGGCGGCTCCAGAAAATGAAAATCCCAACAGAGGTAACCTCGCCAGGTAAGTCTCAACTCTCAAACTGAATAGGTTTAATTGCATGTCAGTCACCTTTTCCGTAACACTTATCCAACTGACTGACACAATCCAAGGGCACAATTTTCTTAGAGCTCGTGCCTTTCGAAACTTGTTAACCTCTTTTGCATGTGGACAAAGCCAATGTGTTCTCGAATTTTCATATTTTTCGCGCTACCCAGGTTTACTGTGGCATCATGGGAACGTTCGGCCGGCTGTGCAACTTTGCATTCAGCTAGCTTCTTCTGCATGCAGCATGCATTGCCTTGCACTGATTGAGAATTCTCATAAATTAATTTTGTTCTGATGATACGTCTTTGATTGCCTTAGCAGAATTTGGCCCACGAGGATCTTGAAAACTGTAATCCTACATGTAATTACATGTATTACTGCTTATTTACAAGTACATTAAGCAGTTTTTTTTTAAATATTCCAAGCAAATCACCAATGTTTGTTTTAACTTTGAGGCATACAAACTCGTGACGCAAAATCAATTTGACCTGAGTCGACTTGCTCAAGTCTACAATTTGGATGCGGCCGTAATTTTCAAATGGACAAAGCTCTTACTGTTGTGTGACGCCTGTCAGAATGAAAGACCATGGGGAAAATTACGTTTCTGTTCGTCTGTGTTAAGAATAGAGACTCAACCAATAGAAACTGGTGGAAATTTATCACAAGGAAGTTGAAGCAGTCCAAAGCTTATTTATGCGATTTGATAGGGAAATCATACGCCTATGTTGCAAGTTTATTGACCTTGTTGAATTTCATGAAAGTTGGGCGGTGCACGGTAAAGACGATCTCTATTTGTAATGTGAGAAAATGTGCAAATAAATAATTCAAGGAAGCAGTTCGTGGAGTGTTGATGCTTTTAGTGAAGAATATTCAACTTTGTTCACTCTGTTTGCCGTAAATAGTGATCCAACAATATGTTATTTGGGGCCGAGGTTTTGATAATTTTCAACCTAAATTGCCACTCCCTTTGAGTCTGCTCGAAAATGAAATGCAAGGACAATGGGGAAGAATGGAAGATTACCATACTGCTTATGCATACTCTAATTACAGATTAAAATCGTCAAATGAAACAAAATCTTAACTTCACTTTCTCAGTGTCGTGGCAAAAACGTGCCATGAAACTCGAAACGTCACTCACGGCGAGTTGCCGCGTTCAATTTCTCTTATCAGCATTCAACACAGGTGTGACAATATATAGGAATTTCTCCTTCCTTCAGTGGCAAAGTGAAAAACAACCCTTTGGATGTTTTTCGGGGGAAATGTTTCAAGGGAAAACCTTTATTTGTCGAGAAATAATTTCCTGGTAATTCAGTAAGACCCGCTGGAAGTTTGGTTTCACTCCCGGGTTTTGGCAATGTATCTGCCGGTCGTTAGTTTGAATCACTGGGGATGCAAGAGCCTAGGAACAAAAGGAGATGAGGAGAAGGTAAAAACTGTGCTAGATTGGCTTTGAAATGAAGGCTTTAAAGTCGTGAAGGGAAAATTTATCTAAGTTGTATGAAATGGCGCACTGTATTTGTGAATTCTGCTCTATAGGACCTGAGCTCAAGAGGGTTTGGATGCAAAAGCAAATTGAGTTCTTCAAGTTGCAGAGTAGTACCAGTAACATCATTTAGGAATTTGTATTATGAAAAACTTTTGTACCGTAACAGTGAAGTGTAACAGCTTGTTTTAGAACATTTCTTTAATGTCATCACCTCATGCTCTAGATTGGACTCCACATCATTAGATTGTAATAAATTGGGTTTTGTGTTGCATTATTTGATATGTTTTTGTTTTCTTTCCTTTCCCCTTCATTTACTATCCTCTTTCGCTTCATCTTATTTCTCAACAATATCCTAATGAACTTCCTTGATCTCCTTCATTCCCTTTCCCCACCTTTGTCTCTTCCCTTCCCCAGACTAGTGCTGGACACTTCCGATGCAATGGCTCCTGCCTCTTGCAAGAAAACCCCTCCAAAACCTGTTCTTCCACTCTGCCGAATCTGCACGGACGAGGCATCTGGTATTCACTATGGTGTGACATCATGCGAAGGCTGCAAAGTAAGTAAAAGACATTGTTGTATCATTTAATGTGAGGTGATTTTTGTCAAAGAAATATTTCTGTTTTAGCAGTGAACAAGTTATCATGAAATTTACACTACAATATCATTAATCCAAACCTTAGTGTTGTTTTGGTCTTCTAAAATAATCTAAATATCAGAAACTACATCAAGACTGATTCATATTAGTAAAATGTTTGTTTGTGTTTCATTTTTAAATACACGCTACTCTACACTTTTGGTGAATCCCACAAGCAAGCGCTTGTCCTTTGTAAATATTGGGGGAGGGGGCAAGAGATACTGCACTAGAAAGGGGCGTAACTTTAAAGGGTCTGTTGGTATTGTCTGAGTTATAATTTGTTCAATGGGCCAGAAACATGCCATTCCAACATGTGAAGGAATGTGTCAGTGGTGAAAAAGCCCTTTGTTTGAATTGGGAGGGACCAGTGGAATTGAATGGGGAGATTTTTGTGGTTACCCATTCTGTAAGCAGAATTTTACTTGGGGTAAAAGGGGTGGAACTGCACAGGTAATGTAGCAAAAACAAGAGGTCCAATACATTTAATTATGTAGTAAAACAGGTGAACTGAAAGTTAATTTAGGATATTCCCATTTTATTTTTGTTTAGGGGTTCTTTAGGAGATGTATAGGTAACAAGACGTTAATTGTACAGTGTCAAAAAGACGGAGACTGCAACATTGATAAGAGTAGCCGAGGGCGATGTGCGCACTGCCGATACCAGAAATGTTTGGCTGTAGGCATGTCAGTTCATTGTAAGTACAAAAAACAGAATCATGTATACCTAATTTGGAGAAATGTCGAGTTACTTTTAACTGGGTTAAGTTCGTAAAGCTGTGAGCTCTTGAATGAACTCTTGGTATGACTCATTGCATGTCACCATATATGGAGAATCATGTTTTTATGGTTCTCAACTAGATCACTAAAACCTGCTGCGCCCTTTGACATCTAAGTCTGTATTTTCCTCTTTGGTTGTCGATTCTTTTGTTGTTGATTTCAAAACGAATGTTCCGTGTTGTTGGAAATTGTTCTGTTGCTGTCAGAAAAGAAAGGAACAACTTGGGCAAAAAATACTTAAGAAATTAGTAATTTCTATGACAAAAAGTCAACAACTGAAAATAAAATAAAATTTATAATCGTTGAATGCACTCAGGAAACAGCACTGTCATCCTTTGGCTTTTTATAATTTTAAGTTACTGACTTTGTAACGGTGAGTAATTTGTAAATTAATTTCAAGGTTGTCCGTTTAGAAAGAAAAAAACACCCAGTGATAAAGAAAAGTACAAAATCTAATAATTAGCTGAAAAACATTGCACTTCGAATGGTCATTCTGACAACCTTGATTGTCTGAAGGTGTAACATTTGAGCTGTAGTTGTACAGAGGAACTGTATGTTTTAAGGAGAAGGCACAGAATTGAACTTTGGAAATTTTCTGACTGTTCACTCACTAGCTGTCAGGGTAGGACGATATTCCAAGAAACAGAAGGCGAGGAATCTCCTTGAGATCCAAAGCCTGTCCACGAAGGAAAAAATCCAAGAACGAGAGCAGAAAGACAGGGAGATGTACGCCCTCATCCAGAAGCTTGTCCATGCCTACGAAGGGACATGCTTCACAAACAATACACAGGCTCATGTGAGTTGGGTACCAGACGTTTTTGTAACGTACACCATAAGCCTCATATTCAAATGTATAAGCACATCCATTTCTTTGTAAAAATGTGGTACATATGTGTCAGCGTAGGGCATTTCTCTAATTTACAATGCTTCTTAAAAATTGAGAAGTGAAGATGGTTAATGGGAAGTGGCAAAATGTTCAGCTCAAATTTCCGTCTTGTTGAGCTCAATATCACCTTCTTTAGCAAGTGCACACACACACTCACACACAAAAAACACTGAAGTTGGGGGTGCCTATGTGTGACAAAGGGATTGTGAAGGTTTCATTTGGGCTAGAGATGGGATGCAATATCGAGCTGGTAAGGATCAATTGATAAAGGGAAATAAAATTGAAAAATGGATGTGATTAGCAGTGAAAGTTGGGCAAACTTTTTTTGGACAAACTAGATTTGACTGCATCTCTTGTTCTGCACATGGCCAAACGTTTCAATGTATCACCCAGTTTGAATTTATAAGTTTTAACCCTAACAATCAAGAAATTATTTATCTTTCATTTCGAGTTATTTTCCTCAAAGCTGAGAATGCTGTAAACACAACAAAATATGAGTAATGCTACGAATTAGAACGGAATGAATTAAACATCAGCAAAAATTAAGTACACTGTAATAGTGCTTAGTCTAATGTAGAGTACTCAAATGTTCCAATTTCGAACAACACTTGAATCCTTGTAGAAATGTTAGTGAAGGTTGTGCAGAATGACTTGTCAGTGGCTCAGTCCAACTCAGGACGCACTTCACATTTCAAAACATTTCTACTGGAAATACCTGTAGCAGAGCTGTTAAAGTTTTTCCTTTTACACACTCTTATGCAAGTAAATTGTCTACAACTTTCAGCTGAAATTGAAAGAGGCATCCCTGGACTGTCAGATGGACACCAGCCAGGATGACCTATCCTACCTCGCGGCCCAGGAGTTTGCCCTTTTGGCCCCCCAGCCCTTTGTTGACCCCGCAGCTATCTATGCCCAGATATGTGCCGTCCGATCCTTCCTGACCGACATGATCACTCCATCAGTGGTGAATGTTGTCAAGTTCAGCAAGAACCTTCCGGGCTTTTGTGACCTTTCACAGGTGGGTTTCCCTTCGAGGATTGGGGGACGAAGTTCAGCCAGGTCCTGCCCTTGACGTCTTGTGGGTTCACAAAAAGGCTACTAGCCGAGAACAGGAAACAGTACATAACCTTGAAAACAAATAGCTACGGGAAAATATTGTAGAGTTGCAAAGCTCAGAAAGGTGTTAAGCAGCGACAGTATTTCCTTAATAGAAGAAGCAGGTTGGAGTTTAAAATGTCATGAAATCTGTGTTGTCTTGGACTGGTTCTCAACAGATTTTAGCTGAGTGGTATTCTCTGCATAGCAGCTCTAATAAATTGTACCCTTCAGGTTTCAACTGCTTCCCGTTCTGGTACGCTTTGCTTGGGCTTTGACATCACGGCGCAGCTAACAATGTACATTTAGTATTCAAGATGGCAGAGCCTCTGTTTTGCATAAGTGGCTTAGCATTGCTTCCTGAGGTATCCGTTCCTCAGTATTGTGGCTGTGGCTACTCGCCCAATCTGGCCTTCCTCTTGATTTGTGACATATTGCCACTGAGGTCGGTTATGACTTCCTGTCATCCTTGTCCTTGCTGCCTTTTACATTGCCGTTTGTGGCTTACTGGACTTCAGGAGAGCACTCGGGATGTTAAGCCCCTATCCCCATTTTACTTCGAAAATTCCGGTCAAGGAAGAAAACTGACTTGGTACTACACCAATGAATTACCGGTACTGCAGTTGTTCACTGGGCTGAATTTTTGTATTATCTTGAAATGCCATATTTAATTTCTGGTCCTTTGTAAAAGTTGCCAGATTCAAGAAACAACTAAAAAAATCATCGGCACATTTGTAAATCTGCAAATTTTATTCTGTTTCATCAGGGTGACCAGATGACCCTTCTCAAAGCTGGTTTCTTTGAGATCTGGCTCATTCGGACTGCCCCCTTCCTCAAGCTCCTTGACGAGGACACACTCAGCTTTGGCGGGCCCAAGGTCAGCGAAGAGCATCTCACCTTCCGGCTCTCGCACCTGCAGGGCCTGGGCAAGGAGGAGCACTTCTGGGAGACACTCTTCGATTTTGTCCGCAACTTCAACGCCCTGGATTTGATCAAGGAGGAGCTGGCAATCTTTACTGCAATCATCATCCTCTGTGGGGGTAAGCTTGCTTCCGATGTCGCTTAGCTTTTCAAATTTACACTACTGCCCAGGCACCACTTCTCTCTAAAGTTGAGCAAAAGGATTTTGGATAAAGCTGCAATTGCAGCTCAACTTGTTTTGGTTACTGGCAAATTATTATGTTTTTTTGTAAGGGACAGCAAAACTGTGAGAATGCCATTGAAAACACAGACCACGAGTGTTCCAATTTTTCATCAGCTCACTTCTTGTCCGGTATTTTGCATTCTGCCAGATCACAAAGACAAATATATATAACACTAGCCCCACTAGACAACTGGAGACAATTTCTACCTTGACAAGATCAGTGGCCCACGCTTACAATAGGAGTTCACTTGGAATGAGGGCACAGGACAACTGAAATTCAGTAGCAAAATGTGCAATCCCTCCAACAACATACACAGCTGGGCTAAACTATCAAAATATCTCTAGTCAAATAAGGGCAAAGGATTTGAAAGTAATTAGCACAGTTGAGACTACTTTATGTGTACCCAAGAAAAAGTGTTTCTGAATGATTTTCATTTACTGAAAGACCATAAAGTAAACAAAAGCTTGTGGTGGAAATACTAGTTAAATTTGTTCAGCTGAAATAATAAGGTGTAAAATGACAAAAACTTAGCAGCAGTGGTGCATGTTATGTCAGTCTTGTGCAGTCAACAGATCGTTAACCCTACCAATCAATTTACTACTCAGGGAACTGATTGTCCAATGAGAGTCCTTCAAAATTAGCCTGAACTGGTAGCCTTAGCTTGAGGGTGCAGAGTAGTGGCAAAAATATGTACCCTTTGATGGGACCATTGTGGGGAAAATGTCTCGCATTATCAAGGTACTTATATGTCTGGGTCTTTTATCCTTTGCGACCATTTCGCGGCTTTCCAGATCGTTATGGACTTCACGACAGTGCCCGTGTTGAGCAGATCCAGGGGGAACTGGTGGAGGTCCTCAAGCGCGAAGTCACACGACGCGACTGGAAGAACAAGCAGCTGTTTGCTCGCCTCCTGATGCAGGTCACGTCGGTCCGCGTCGTCTCGATGCTGTTCAACAAATGTGCCAACAACTTCCGTCGCGCCTGGCCCCACATTGAAATTCCTGCCCTTCTTGCAGAGATCCTGGATTATGAGTACTAGAAGCTCAACGCCATCTGCCCCAAAATTCCCCTTTTTCGTTAAGTTTATTGTCTCATTTGTTGTTGTTTTATGAGATATTTTCATGTGAATGTGTACGGAGTTCGAAAGTTCTTGATTACAATTACGTGTGTGTGTTTTTGAGTGAAAAAAGTAGGTTTTGTGAATATTTGAGTATTTCTGAGAATGTACAGTAAAGATGGAGTAAGAAACTTGTGTCCTTGAGAACACATGTACTTACAACTGACGCAAACCTTTATGCCTGATTATATTTATTTCTGAACATTAATAATGAAATTGATGTATTGAATGAAATGTGGTAGTCTTCTGTTAAGTTCATTATGCAACAGACTTTTGCAGATGAATGGAAAACCAACTCTGTCCCTGAGCTTGTGGATCAGCTCTTCTGAGAGAGACCTATCGTATTTAAGATATTACTTGGTTTCAACATCCTTGACGTCAAATTTTAGATTTATTTTGCACTGGAAAACACAACCATGCACCATCGCTCAAATGCACTTATATTCGACTGCTATTCATTGAAACTAATTCTTTTTCACACTGCTTGTATTTTCCTGTCTTTCATGTTTTTTCAGGAAAGATGGATCGCTTTCATGTTTCCTACAAACCCTCTCGATTGGCTAAAACCTTGAATTTCCATTCCTCATATTGTTATGTGGCATGCATACAGTTAGCAACAGTGAACATTTAATACTGAGACATTCCAACAAATTCAAACTATAGTTTTATCAATGTGAAAAGATATTTTCAAATGTATTATGGCATAATCCAAAAAGAAAACCTATTTAGGCAAAATATGACCAAGACATGTACAACAGTGATACCAGTAACGGTCATTATGTGCATGGCTTGGGTGTATTTTGTTTTAGTTTGGGGGTTTCCTTTTTCTTAAGGGGGACATCCTGTCGTAGATAACACATGCTTCTGAGACTTTCTGCAATGAAATGCTTTAGTTGTTAAAGATGGACAGTTGTACTGGTATTTTACCCAGTGAAACTGCTTTAAAATAGAACCATAAACTAATGAGCTAGATCTCTTGAGCCCTCGGCGAGTTGCGTAGTTTGTCAGTTGCAATCTTTATAAACTGTCTTAATGATTCCACTTTCCTCAGCAGCACAAATACCACAAATATAACTATAGCAACATGGGAATAGTTCAGTATATGGCACAGGTATTATATAGTATCTTGAATTTATGTATATTAGCATCAGAATAGCTGTTATGTTCAAAAAAGGTGCATGGGCGACAGGTCGTTCATTTAAGTTTTTCTTTGTCTTTAGAGCAGACTGGACCCAATTAAGGATTTGTTCCTAGTACTCTTAATAAGTTTGACAAAACTGTAATTTAAGTTTTACAAGCAATGACCAAAGAGACGTAGATGACTTTTCCACCTTACATACATGTACATGTATTAACTTTTGTTGGGCATTTTATTTTCTAAAAAATGAATTACAGTTATGTTTGAGTACAAAGAAACAATTAAATGGTTGAGTACGATGAAATAATCAACACTGGAAAACATTTTCATCGAGTTTGACAGAGGTGTATTGTTAGGGCTCTACAGGAAAGGATTAAAATAGGGGATTCTATCTGTGAGTTATAAAGCAAGATTACTGATGCAACCTTCTGTATCTCCAGAACCACTGAGTATTAATAGTTGGAAAATAAGAATGATTCCATTCCCAAAGTGAAGCTCAAGTTGCATAAGTTTGGTTACTGACAAATTAGGTGTTGTACAATTTTTGTTAAAGAGTTTTGTAATGCATCAAAGGGCACTGCATATGGAACCAGTTTGGTCTTGCTCGCCAGCATCTGCATCTTCCACTTTAGCAATGTTTGTAAAATTTTGGTTCATAAACTTAACACTTTCTGTAACACTGGATGTACATGCACGGCCTGAGAAACCTCGGTCATACACACAAAGATTTTGAATTAGCATTGTACCGGGGACGGGATTGAACAGAATTCAAAGTCCCAACACTCAGCAATTTAGGATGATTCAATTTTGTACTAAAAAAATATGTTTAAAAAAGGGAAATGCAGTTTACCATGAAGTCTAAAAACCAGTTGTGTTTTGCTTCGAGTGGTCCTGCCTTTTGTAAAGCAGTCTTTTGTAGCTTACTTGGACAAACACCAGCCCCGGATTGTTAATGGGGACTTTCCAAATCCATATTGGGTAACTAATATTTTTGGAAATAGTTTTCCGGTGATAAATGATGTCGGGTATGGATGGATTTTTGATAACACAGTAACAATTTCCCCTTTTCAGGGACTGGTCTTTTTTTCTTTATTTTTTGGAAAGACCGATTTCGAAAACACACAAGCAAAGAAAGTACTGTAATCACTATTTAAGTCATGACGACTAATCCTATGCGTTATTTGCACATTACTGAAAAAGCATACCTTGGTCTTTGCCAATGAATTGCTAAAATTGGGGGCATGTGACAAGCGGTCACCAAAGTATTATATATGTGACCAGATGAGATGTCTGTTGCTGTATTTGGGAAGATAGTTACCAACACAAATGTAATCTCTTTGAGTTCAACGTATCTGGCAAAAATGTTAACCGACAATTAGTTCAAATACAAATTTTGACAGATGTTCTCATAAAAGCTATATTTTGATTTATGATTCAACAAAATCACTTGCCTTAAGTACTGTACAGCACTTTAACAAATTACTAATACAGAATATGACTTTAAAAAGTAATATATTTTTTTCCAGGAATAATTTTTGTTAAGCGTTGATAAGATGGAAAACTTGCGTAGAATGTTTCTATAGAGGTCATGACTTCTCATCTGCTGGTCAGAGAGAATTGTAGCATTTTAGTTTCATTTACATTTCATTTTTTTTGTCACTTATGATTCAATTATGTAGATATACAATGAAACAACATGCACTTTGATTTGATGAGAGATTCATCTGTGTGGTCTAATTTTACTTTTTATTTGTGAGTGAATAAATTTATAATTATATTGTAAGTTTGTTTTCCAGCAGTTGAACTTGAGTGGATTTGTTTCATTCCAACCTTTTTTGTAAAATTTAGGATATATGGTAAAAATTTTACAGTCTAGCTCTACAGCAAAACGAGGCCAAAAGCAAGAAAACCCACACCCCAAAGGAGAACAATCTTGTTCTGACACCATTTTTAGTAGGGGGGGGAGTGCTTGCAAATACATTGTACATGTGATTCTTTTTTCAATGGCCACTAGCTCCAAGACAATACAGCCTAACATTTTGCATTGCATGACTGCTGAATTCCATCATGTAGTCATTATTTGAGGCAGGCAGTGTTGCTAAATCTTGACAAGCTTTCAAAGCTGCATCACACGAGTCAGTCATGGGTCACATGGTCTCAAGTCAAATAACAAAATCAGTGACTAGATTGGTGATTGACATATAATTTGACTTGTCGCTGACTCATGACCAGCTTGAATGCAAGTTTGGAGTCCATATTATTTGAGAATAAGTTCTGCATATGCTTGGTAGTAGCGCATATTTTGAAGTCTGTGCAATTTTTCTGAAGTTGTTACAAATTTTACTTACATATACCCAATAACGGATGTGATTGGTTATGCCAGAGAAATGAAAAATAAGTACCGAATGAAAAAAAGAGAATGCCGTTTCCGAGGTAATTCAAGCGCAGTTTTATCTTAAGGATTTTGAAAATTGACTGCAGGAAAGCCACGACCAAGACTTCCCTCCCCAGTAACCTTTTTACATTCAACAAAATGCAGGGATTTCATGAAGTGTTGCTATTCATGTCTTCTTCAAAGAGAGTTGAATCAAGAGAAAACATCTGCATAACACCTGAATCATGCTTAAAGGATAAAAAACTGTTTTTGCTGATATCAGATCTTCCAGATCAGGTACCAGTATATTTTTTCACTGATTTGAACACCTGATATGGAGCCATTTTTTTTTTACGATGGCTACAATTAAAGTGAACAAACAATCTGGTGGAAGCTGAGTGTGACTTCTGCAATTAGTCAGCCCTTTTTTTCTGCTAACAACTTCACTTGTTCAAACAGAGAAAGACAGTCAGCAGGATATTGAGTAACAGCACCACGGAAAGTAAATCTTGATTCTAGCAAGAAACGGGAACCTGTTAATTTTAAAGGCTACTTAACGTAGCCATTTCCCAGCCTCTTAGGAACACAAGCCCTCTTTGTATTTACATGTCTTTAATAGGAGTTGAATGTTTGAAATTGACTACAGGCTGACATTACGAAAAACGGACCTTAAATTTACCCCAAAAGAAGTATAAAAATGTTAAAGGTTTTAAAAAATGAAGATTAAAATTGGTTTTCACTTCTTAAATCTGTTTTTCAAACACAACAAAACATCATGAAGAACCTGTGAAATCAACAACAGACCTATACAAAAACACCGGCGCCAAGCTGGATGCCCACTGCAGAATTATTTCTTTTCAACAACTACAAATTAATTGACCCTCCAATATCCAACTTTGACTCTTGGTTCAATGTATCAGACCAATTATTCTGCTGCAGAGTTTCACGTTCTGAGAAAAAAAAAATCACCTGGAGAAAAACTTCTAATCAGTTGCCAACTACCTTTTCAACTGAGCAATGCGGGTCAATAACCTCCGTTCCAACCATCAAGATTCCCCCTTCTTCCACTGCGGTAGGATGTCCACACTGCTTATCAAGATGAAGAGTATTTTAGGCAACATGATCGTGAAATGGCCTGAAGGCAGTAATGGGCACAGTGACAATCCACCCCCCCTACAGCTTCCACTGCATCAGGACGAGTGAACGTAAACAAGTTGAATAACACATTGAATGTTAAATAACCACGTGAGTGGGCACAGGTTTAACAAACTGACTGTTTTTCTTCTTACATGTTCACACGCCGACAAAAATTCATCCCTTACATACTGTCCTCAAAGAATATGAGAACACTTCTCTAGAAACAGTGTGCATATTTAAACAAATATTTTTAGTTAAAAAGAATAATAAATTTTTAAGTTTGGAGGAAAGGTGTCTTCAAAATGTCAATAACGTTTTCAAAAGTCAATGCCTTTTTAAAGTTAATTTCAACCCTTGCTCAAAATTCAATGTATCAAGACTTGTGAAGTCGCACTGTCACGGTTTGTTAACCCCATCCTGTTTTCAAAAGGATGTGTTTTAATATATGAAACATTAACCCAGTTACTCCCACACTTTTTGCTCAGAACCTTCCTGGACGTTAACAAATGCAGCTGGTACGATATCACTTATTCCAAGTCCAAGCACTATCAACAAAACCAGCAGATGTTAGATTTTGTTGGGCCAGTTATATGAACCGATAAAGCACATACAGTACAATGTTGCTGAGCCACAGAAAATGTCAAGATCACACTGAGGTGTGGTCACAAAAAAGCCTGCCAAAACAATTTTCCCACTCAAAATTAAACACAATGAGTGACAGCCGGACAGGAGGCTTGAGGATGCTTCCTAAATTAGAATCAAACTCTTCTCAACATTTTTCGTTTTTTTTTTTTTTTTTTTGGTACGGCAGATTAGTGGTGTCTGATGGTTAGTTGGAGATGAACTTGTGATATACCTGTATTTTTTCCCTTGTTCAATTTGCATGCTAACTTGCTGGTTCCATTTTGGATTGCGACATCACTTAATATGATCGCCAATGCACGTCGCTCGGGACTTGCTGTCTGAGCCAAGCTGTGACATCACAATATACTGTATGTTTTAGCGGGGTCATGTCCACTTTTTTTCAGACACGACACACACTCATGGAACATAGCCGTTGTCATAAATCCTCCAGGAATAACCTACTTGGCATTTTTAGTTATGCAAATTTGCTGTGAATGAAACAAGGCCCGGGGCAAACAGCATCATATCAGATGACAATAAATTAGGGACTGCCCCCAGAACCTGCACCACAGAAGTACATGTAGTGTTTGACAAAAGAGCTCAAGTTTATACTTCCTGGTAGATCTTGTTGCTCTGTCAGCGGGGTATAACAGAGAGGTATTCCGTGTTGTAACTCTACAGGATCCCAAATTATCAAGTCAACAACTCAACATTAGTTTGGGGTCCTTATGTTCTTTTCAGTGTGGTGGGCCACAGTTATATCGGCAAGTAAAATTACAAATTGATTTGTTGGTTTCACAAGGATTAACACTGATACACATGGGCGTTGCCATGAAGTGGACAAGGGGGGGTTGGTGGAAAACTTGAAGGGGGAGAGAAAAAGGAAAAACGAAAACAAAGAAAGGAAAGGATGAAAAGTAGCAACTGGCTTGGAAATATTTTGAAATTGATCCCGTCCAACATTGGTGGCTTGTCAGTCTGCCACTGTCAAGTGCTGTCTTCCCCCCCAAGCTTTGCTCATTTTGCAGTTATACCCAAGACTGTTAATCCAAAGTACAAACCAGAGCAAGATTACCTTCAGGAGGTGAATTTATGTTCTATGAGTACACTGAACTCATTAGGCAAACATGCAAATTTCAACTCTTTCTAGATAAATGAAATGAAGTGCTATTTTACTCCGCTGAAACAACCAGAAACAAAGATTCTTCACACTGTTCACAAAACACCTCATGTTTTTTTTCCTTTAAAATATTGTCCATTTTATTTCAAAACAGCAAACACGATGATCAGTGAATGTTGTATTTTCCCAAAATTTAATACATGTATTCTGGAAAACCCTACCACTTTAACAGCAGGCTAACAATTTGATTAAAACCACTCTGGAAATAATGTCAGACCAAGAGTGAAGTGGTTATCTTGTTGCTATGTAGTGATGTACATGAAGGCGTGGGTTTTTACCATTAGGAAGTCACCCAGAACAGCTGTAGTCAGAGACACCAATGTCTGTTTTGTACACAGCCTTACACACACATTGATATGGCTAAAAGAACAAAATCTGATGAAGATATGAACATAAAGTTAGGCAGGAGCTGTAATGAGCAGGTACGAGGTAAGATTTTGAAGTGGATTTTATCTACACTGGATAATATGAAATTCCAAGGAAAGCTAGCTCGGGATGTAATCTGTTTAGCGAATCCTGCTATCTTTAGCATACGGACCCCCCTCCAGAACCAATCAGATATGTGAAGCACGTTCTGAGTTGTAGCAGGTGGCTGAAATAACCACAAACCAGGATAATTGCAGGTTATCACAAATGCTCATAGGATTTCCTTATGAAATTTTTGTTTACACAAAAGGGAAAGAGTTTGGAGAAAAGAGGAATGTTTAGACCAAAGGGATGTCATTATCTTACTTTCTCTCTCTCTGTGGCTTTGTGCTGTTTGGTATCTGTTCTATCTGCCGTAAACGATCATTATCCCTATTAAATTACCACTGAAAACATCTGAGGGACATTCAAGCAGCCACTTACGGATAATAGTTATGTCACTGATTTGTTTGCTGGGTGATTTCCAATATTTGGATGAGACAACTTGCTGAATAGCATTATCCTTTTGGTTTCACTTTTGTGTTGTTTTATTTCACTCAAATTCACAGTTATTACATCCTTCAAAGGATAACTTTAACATAGGGAAGCATACTGTAAGGACTGAAATAACACATCATTATTTAAATTAGTCCACAGGGGCTTGGCTAAATCAACTTGAAAACAGAGATGAAGTACCATCTGGAAACTGGAAGTTACTGCTAGCAATGTAAACTACATTGATAAAAGAAAGGATCCAAAGTTCAATACCTGAAACTTGTGCATGCTAAATACATGTTGGCTGTACTAGTTACTGTTGCCAGTTGGGAACAAAATCCCAGTTCCTCAAATTTTTCTGTGGAGGAATTTGAATGAGTTCGACACTGTGCATGTCAACGGCATTTCCTTGGAACCTCTACAAAATTTGGGCATCCAGTCCCATTTTTAAGTGAAGGAGCTGAGATGTACAAGCCTAAAATACATCAACATACTACAAAACAGGCCTAAAATATTGACAGACACTGGGTGCTTAAGCAGTGTGCTTCCTGGAAAAAAAATGAGAAAAATAATAAGGACGGTTCGCAATACAGCGTGCCTGTCAAAGGTTACCGTGAGGAGGCCAAGTTTGGTAGTGCAGTATCAGAAAACGGTTGATATCTTCAAATGAAACAGTGTTTATTTTGCATAAGGACTTGGCAGTTGGATGTCTGTAATTTCAGTTATTATTTCTGTATGTACTGCATCGTGGTCACTCAATGCGGCGTATAAGCACTGATAAGGGCTGAAAAGCTACATGGTAATGCAGGTCGTCTTCTGTGAACTGACCTGTCTGAGGCAAACACTTAGTAGCTCACTGTATCTTGATCCAGTAACTTAAATCACTCAAAAATAAATTTCAAATATCCACTGAAACATGACACACACACACTCCCAGATAAATAATAAAAACTCTTGATCACTGCAAATTGAGGTCTACACGTTAAAGCCGGCAACGTTTTCTGTCTACTGTGACATTACATGGGTTCAAAGGAGGAGTAACAGGCCAGCACTCCTCAAAGTTTGCAAACATTCCTGTCACAAGAAAGCAAAACTTCACAGGAAGTGGGAAATGTACTCTACCAACAAACCAAATCACTAATTCCACAGAAATTCTTTGTTGCTTACCATGCAGACCGATAACGCATCAATCATTCTGTTTTCTGCATCTTCCGTGCTCTCTTTTTCATAAAAAGTTAACAATGTGTCTGAAATGTGCACTCTTCAAACTGAAAGGTAGATTTTTGTAGAAATTAAGTTGACTTAGCTGCAGAGTAGAAGATGGAGGATTTCCAAGAATTTATTCAGAGGTTGAGTGCATCTACAGTTGGCCTGGTGGGAGGTATCGTCAGTGAATTCCTACATCCAGAAAAAAGGTTTAAATGAGTCTCAAATTATACAAATCCTGAGAAAATAAAATGACAACCCTTTACGGTACAGTGTAATTTTCTAGACTTGATTTAAAAAAATTTAAATCAAGAAGAGAGATTTTCTGGTAGTCGTTGATTTAACAAACTGTGTAATGCTGTGTAACTTGTTTTTAGTAGTGTCATTGGTAGAAAAAAAAAATCTGACTTGCGATTACTGATCCCCCAAACCCACAACTGGTTTAGTGAGTGAACTTTATCAATTAAAAACAATTTAGGAAGCACATTTGTTTTACGTATACGAATAAGGGATAAGTATGTGCTTGCAAGTCTGAAAAGTCTATTTGAGACCTGATCAGGGGAAGGAATGTTGACGGGGCCCTAGTTGAATGTTTCAGACTGGCCGAGCACAAATTCAGAAATACCTTTTGAGTCACAAAGTCAAACCGGGTTTACAAAGAATAAATTTCAAACAATTTTGTTGAACATTTTACTTCACTTTTTCCAACGACGCTCTTGCTATGTTATGTTCATCCATGGTATGCTTGTCTAACGAGTAACTGTAAGCTATCTCCATGCACAAAGATTGGTGTGTGTATGACATGTACTGCGTGGAGTGGAACGCAGTCAGTGTTTTATCAACTTTTAAGACCGGCCACGACTGGCTCTCCACCAATAGGATTGAATGGCTCAACTGCCTTAAGTATTATTTGACACAAACCTAAATAAAAGTTAGAATAACAGGTAGACTAGTATGGCATGATACTGTGGTGATATGCCAGCATTCAGGTCGTCAGTGTATGGTAAATGAGTCTGACCAGCTGGGTGCAGTGAATGTCAAAATATATGCACGCCTTAAAGGATTGCTGTCATGGGATTTTCTTCCACAGAAATTTTTCTGCAACTCTGTGATCTTCTTCCAAGTAGGAAAACTATCTGCATCCCTATTACATTAAATGCACAGAGAGTGCACTTAAAAAAAAAATCATTATGCTCTCCCAGACAATTGGGGGCGCTGTTGCTGTGGAGCACATGGTTTAGTGAATAAGGTTTTCTATCCAAAGTGTGAACTTTTCTCAGGAGGGCTGCCTGCTTATGTATTGCTATGTACTAACAAAAAAATGTTTCAGCACAGAAACGAAATTTAGGCTGGCAATATCTAAAAAAATTCTGCATTTTTTGTGTATAAACCACTGCAAGATTAAGATTTTCTGCATGGGATGACATCATTAATTTGCTCATGAATATGGAAATACTTATTAGCAGCAAATACACTTTAAATAGTGAAACAAACGTTAACAAGACAGGTGTGTTGACAAACACATATGCCCCGCCAAGACTGCATGAAATCCCCTAAACATGCCATTGTTCATTTGAGTAATTTGACCTTGAAACTTAACATTTTGCATCCAAATTCAATAGGCTCCTTAGGCCCACTGATTACAACCTACATACCAAATTTGAAGTCCACAGGACATGTAATTCCCAAGTTATCGTGCTGACAAGATTCGTGGACACCCACACCCCTACACACACGCATCCACGGAAGGACAAGGAGGAAACAGTATGCCCCTTCGACTTTGTCGGGGTGGGGCAAAAGAATGAGGTTAACTGAGACACAATAAAACAATTCCACTGCTGCGCCATTTGACGTAGGACATCGTGCGTGGTAGGCAGGCGTAAGTACGGCGCCACTGCAGTGAAATCATCTCTTCTGATCACTATATGCATGAAATACAAGTCTGATTGGACATTTCGGCCTTCACTCACCGTGCGCCATCTTGCACTGCTTGAGTGCCTCGTTGAATCCTTCGCACAGCGTGATGTCGTGCTGGCTCTGGGCGCAGTTCAGGAACTGCCTCAGCTCGTAGCCGCAGGCGCCGCCCTGCAGCGAGTCCGGCTGCTGCTGCTGCTGCATGTAGGGTTGCTGCTGCATCTGGGGCTGCTCCTGATAGGTGACATCGGGCTGCTGTGGCTGTTGCCCTTGACCTCCCGTAATTGCCGCTCCAACTGCATGACCCTGACAATTCACAAGGGGAAATAACACCAGTAAAATTCTCGGGAAAACTGCAGAGCAGATTTCAGAAAGTCTCAAATGCTTTCAAAATGGGCGATCAAGTAAAACACTGTAGTTATTCTCAAAAATTTTCTTGATCCTCCAAAAATTCTGCTTTAACAATTACATTAAAAAAAGATTTAAAACAGTACCTTATCCAACTTTATGTAACTGATGTAAGATGAATTGAAAATCCCTAATATCAATCTGAAAATGGCGCAAGCCTAAGATTTAATCATAAGTGGCTAGAAACACACAACCTAGTAACATAATACAACAAAATGGGAATATCTTTATATTTCATGGGGAAAATGTCTTACGCTGCTCTATCAATTCTCATGGGTTGCATAAACCATATAACCTTTCACAGAATATCATCGTTCTATTTCATTACAAATTATGGACGAATGGTCTACTAAGCAATCCTTACCACAGCTGAACCAATGGCAACACCACCTGCTGTAGCAGCCATCTGGCCAAACAACCCTGGGCCTCTAGGGGGCGCTACTGCACTCGACTGTTGCTGGACGGGTACCGGGGCTTTCTGGGCGATAGGCGCAGGGGGACTAGCCACAGTCCGTGGAGGGGCAGGGGCCTGCCTGTAGAAAGAGGACATCAGAAATTGTGATGATGAAAGTACCCGGAGTGCACCACAAGAACGAAAATTGAAAGGTTCACGAGTTTGCCATTCAATGTTTTGCAATGCTATTCAATAATGGTTTTGCCTTTAAATCTAACAGTTCTACCCTTCAACATATTATAATTATTATTGGTTTATTTGATTCATGTGTCGTGGCCATTCGGCCAAATTGTATATGAATTACAATATAGTAAAAATACTAACAGTATATAAGAATACAAGATATAAAGATTACAATATGAAAAAGTAAAACCATAATAGACCTACAGCTATACCATAAAAATACATCGATAATATAAATTCACAAATAAACCAAAAGAACAAGATTATAGAAATTGGATTAACAAAATTTCAAAAACACAACGCATAAACTTCAAGAACTATCAATGGGAACATGTAGATTTTAAAGCCGGCATCAAGTAAAAATAGCTTGAGTTAATAAGTTCTATGTAATAAGGGATTGGGCTGTTTTGAAAGCGACAAGTTTTAACTGGAAACTTGGAAATATTGTGTGAGTTTCAGAGATTCCTCCCATGATTAGCTAACCTGGATGGGGGGGGAAATAAAAAAATTACAATGCTCACTATTCTGAAGATTTGGGGCAAATTTGAGACAGTGTCTTTCTCTCAACATGCAACAATAAAAATACTGGTCAGAGTTTGTAATTAACGGGGTAAATGTAAATCTGGAATTAATTTAAAGTAGTTTGTCTCTGGAATTCAATGTATTTCTTTCTGTCTGGTGGTGTACAGGATTGGTACATGTACATGTATATATTTCATACAGTAGATTCCCGTCACAGCGCTCCTTGATATAACGCTCTTACCGATATAACTTTCCATTTTCATTCCCCCAATTGCATGCCCATTCACTGTGTGCATTTTTCTGTGGTTATAGCGCTCACGTTTATAAAGCTTTTCGGGATATAACACGATTTTCGGCCCCTAGAACCATATAAAGCATGTGAAATGATTCCGGTTACAGCGCTCTTTACCTTGCAAAGTCAGATTCGTTGAAAATCCACGAATGTGAAACGGCAAGGCAAGGCCGCCATGATTGGCCGTCCTCTGGCATGGGACACCACTAGTTGCAATCACACCGAGTGCAGACATGCAGAGCATGCGCTCACCATAGTGAGCTGCACCCCGGCCACACGTGGCGTAGTTATGTTTTCTTGGATTGCCATTTATATGTAAACATTCGCCAATGTCTGAGAATAATTTAGAAAAACTGAGTTGTCTGGATTTTGAGTTATCAAACAGAAGTCTCCGAGTCATGAAGTCACGAAGCACATGAAATGTGTATGTGATTACAACAAACTTAACTTGCTCTGCTGTGGCAACATTGTGATTACTTTCCCACTTTTTAGTTATTCTCGTGGTGTGGTTTGGCACACAAATAATCCACACTGCAATACTACAGCACATACAGTGTTTTGTGACCTAAGGTTTATTTCTAGCGATAATTAAAATCAGCCGCTTAAACTCTACATGTATCTTCATGTAGCAAATCTTGTCTTTTTACCGATTGTGTTCATGCGTTAAGCCCATCAATGACCGCGCTTGCTCTACATCTTGGATCGACCATTTCGGTGGCGGGGGATAACATCACACACGGTGCAGCACATGTCGCGCGTCTTGCCCAATGTGTGTTTCCAGGTCACAAAAGCAGCCAGGACGGTCCCACGATGAAAACAACACAAGATTTCACCGAAAATGGTCGGGCCAAGATGCGGAGCAAGCATGGTCATTGGTGGGCTTAACGCATACGTAAACACGAACAGCATGAACGGAGCGACAGTCAACAGGTGGAAGCGAGAAATTGGTGAGCAAAAATCTCATTTTTTCCAGAAGTACTCCATTTCATGCTCTGAACTATTGTTATCCCCTTTTGAGCAGGTATAGATCAATCAGATATGCTGACAGGGAAAATTTGCTTTAATACTAGCATTCTTAGGGCTGGAAACCATTTCACAACAAAAATTTGATTCCAAAACCCCATAGCATTACGACGTGCGACATGTAAACCTTGTTTCCTCGAAGTCACACGGAGTTAGTGACTTCGAATCTCGAAGTAGGCTAGGTGTCACTATTAAAATTAAGCTGGTTGTGTACAAAGTCAAAAGAGAATTACAAGACATTTCTAAGTATTTTCTGACCAAAATTGGACGTGTTTCTAATTCAGGAATTCAAGTTGTTTTTCCTCAGTTTTGCTGTAAATGAGTTCTGCATTTTTTCTGTTTATACTCAAAAGGCCTGCATGTTGTGTATGCCACATGAAGTAAAAAAAATGTAAGCCTGAGTCCGATTTGACAAAATGAGAATTTCCAAGTTAAAAAGCTCAGGCTACTAATACTATTCATGTTCAGTGCAATGATGGTTTAAATACGACCTACAGGTACATGCAGTAAACATGGCCAATGCAGTTTAAGTACGAGTTTAGGCCTAAGTAGGCCTAGTAACTTCTTCAAGTACTTAACGCAATGATTATTCCATGTTACATCACCATCAGGCATCACTGCGTAGGTTACAAAATGTAGATCATAGACATTAGATGCATCATTACGATCATGCCCTTCAGTTCCTCATTTCATTTACCTGATTGGCGAAAATGATCGCCCACGACTTCTCCCACCGCGAGGCATTACTGACAAATTCAGAATAAACTGGAAGTCTTGCAGTTAAAGTTGAGGTTTTCCTTCTAAATCTCGCTCACCGGTGGTACCGGCACAGTACGCGCTTCGTTCTCGAACAATCGCCAGCAAATTGGATTCCTGACCCTTGACCTGACCTAATTATAAGTAACTTTCAGTTGCCGTTCTACTTCCAGAGTGTAATTTGAAGCATTATGAACTCCCCCCGCTCTGGTATTACATGTACTTCCACTTATCGTTAAAAAATAAACTGTTCAACTTTATTTTCTCTCTTTATTGGAGGAAGAGGTCATACAGAACAACACAAAATGGCGACAGTACTCTTCTACCAAACTTTTATTCAGTATTTTGCAAAACCATGGAAGAATAAAATACATGGAGCAAACCATGAGACTCTGGGAGCAGGTTGACAAAGGTCTATAAAAATTGGTTAAGCCAACTGACAGAGCTACTTTTGCATTAATACTGACAATGCAATGATGGAAGACAGATTCTTCATTCGAATATTTACACTTTACATCTTTATTACATTATAAATCTGACTTTTCCCGACCTATTTTGTGAAGTAATATATGTTTCCAATATAAACTTATTTTTCAGACAAGAAAAATGGCCCACACCAATGGTACCTTTTAAAGAATACCATTAACAGTAAAATGCTTTTTTTTTTAAGTTGCAGATAATCAAATCATTATGCAGTGCTCCAATGAGCAAAGAGGAAACCGTCTAAACCCCGGCCCGACTATCAACATCTTGTGAATATTGACCAGAATAACCGAGTCATTATTTAAAGTGTATACCATATATACCCCAACATTATTTGACCAATGCCCACAGTGCAACACTGCACTGCAACAAATGGGCTTTCAAAATTAATAAAGGCTCTTGGTGAGGACCCAAATTGCTCTACTAAATACATAAAAGGTTCCCACATTGCCTTTGTTAATAGCTCACACTTGATTCTCAGAAAGGCCAAAGAGCGCCCTCTGATGTTCATATGCAAAGCCTATAAATGATTGCTTGCCTTGCTTGGTTCAACTTGTTGCACCTTGGAAGGGTACTACAAAAGCTAGCTGGTTCGCAAGCAAAAATTAGGTGAGGATGTAGTCAGCAAGCGTCACAACCCCATGGAGCATCAACACTGTGTTTGAGCTCTGCTGACATCTACAAAATGTGGGCACTTGTTTAGACTCATCCGAGAAGACACAATCATATTGTGGCAAATCCTTCTGGTCAGACAGACATATAATGTGCGTGATACCACCTGTCCATGACAGTTGAGCCACAGCAGTAATGACTTCTATTTCTGCTCTCTGAATTACACGACAGGATTTGTGGCTCCAATGCGTGCACAAACAAAGGCTGGTGCATTTTGACATCCCGATAGCCCATGTGCACATGCAAGTTTGCACACTTACAGCACAAAATGAGGAAGGCCAGTTTTTACTGAAAATGTGGAGATTTTGTGTACGCATGAGGTGGCTGAATTTGCCGCCCACAAATGGCCCTCTAATTGGCTGCAGTGAAGGGGCATTTGCGAATAAGCTGATTAAGAGATCACAGCATTGAAGCCTGCACCAGGGGGGGTCCTGACTGGTGGGTACGAGGAAACTCCAACAGCCTTTCATGCCTACATGGCTAGGGGCCGCTGTTTCTAGTCCCTGTGCTTTTTCTACTGTGTCACCCCCCCTGACAGAATCCTGTCAATGATGTCCTGTCACTCGCCGGCAGGTATCTCCTCTGTTTCCATTCCCTGCTCTTCTTCTACTGTGTCACCCCCTGGCAGAGTCCTGGCAATAATGTCAAGTAGCAGCTCAATCTGTTCCTCGGTCAGCCTCTCTTCGCTCTCTTCGATCATCTACACAGAAAGTATTTTGAGAGGTTACTTCAACCTTTCCAGAGCAACCTCATCCCCACCAAACATCACTTCAGTGTCCTGTATTTTTCTTATCTTTTTCAACAGACAACTGAGATTGAAGTTTTGCTAAGGACCATATAAAGCTCATTAATCTACAAACTGACCATGGGTATGAGCCACTTTTTTCAATCCAGCAGCAAGGTTTCACACACTGTTTACTTACCAACTGAATCTCTACAGCGCTGCAGGGTCTATTGTTTAGAAGCTGTAATCTCTCAGCCCTAAAGCAGACAAAAATTTAATTGATCAAAATGTCACCACAATTTCAAGACCCCTCACCAGCACTGGAAACATTTTGGTTTGCTTTTCATTGCCGCAAGCCTTTACAGTCTGAAGGAGAAAAGTTCTAAATGTACGTCTAAACCTACCAACAGCCAAGGGAAACAACTTCAGCAGTACTTCCTCAAAACAGTCCACCTGTTAAAGAAGCACCACTCTGCGTATCGTGTGTAATGTGCATGGCAAATGTTATCATTTGTAAATGGGTAACGGAAATAGTTGAACAAGTCCACATATATCGTCAATTTTGTATGCTCAATGCAAGCGGGTGGAGGAATGTGCACTGAACTACAGTCCACTTCCAGCCACGTAACCACTATGTTCTAAAGGAGATAAAAAGGCTTCTGATAGGGGGTAAGCATCGTTACAGCCTTTTTAGGGAATAAAATCTACGGCCATTTTCATTTCTCTAGGGCCGTTTTCAGCTGCCTAGTGCAATTTCTTACTTGGTAATGTTGAATGGTTCCACAGCCTTCATGAACTCCTTGATGCATTCAGGATTTTGATCTTTACAGGGCGTGTTCTCTAGATACTTGGAAGTCTAAAAAACAAAACAGACGAACATGGTTGGTCAAAAAAGTTGCTACCATGCAATTTTAAAGTGTTCCTGGGAACGCCAATAACCCTGAGGGTACAATAAACGGTGGATAAAACTTATATTTGTGTATATCTTGTTGGATTTAGCAGTCAACAAAAGTGCACTCAGTTGTGGATAACTGGCTTTATTTAAGAGTCAGCCATGATGAATTGAAAGCGAGGTTAACTTTTTTATTTTGGGAACCCAATAATGCAAATCGCTTCCCTGTGAATACACTGCATAGACGTTATAGTCCGTCAGAGGCTATTTTTTGTTATTTCAATTTAATTACAATGAATACACAAAAGGTTTACTCAAGCCTATCCCAGAGGAAGAAAGAAATATCCTCTAATGTGACGCCATACACGTAAGGTCTAGATCATCTCACTGTATTGCACAATGCAAAATATATTCTGTAGGAGTTGGTTGTACTTTGGTTGAAGTTTTTAAAAATTTTGGCAGCCTTTAATTGTGATGCTTTTTAATGTGCAGTTCAAGTTGTGAATGCCCAAATAAATATTACCAATGCTGCTGTCAGCAGGGTTGTCATTTCAGCAGCGTTGACATTTGTTTCTGCAAGGGTTGGGATTTATGGAACCTCTCAACTTAGATCCCTTTTCCCTCTTTGGAGCACTTCCTTAGAGAAACGAAAGCTAAACATTCTAGTTGGGACACCCTCCCGCCCCCCAAGAAAACCAAAAATCTTCCACGCCTTCCCTGACATATTTTATGATTTCACAAACTTGGATACATTCACTGCTGACCTCATATGAGATAGTAGCCAGATTTTGTTGTGTTTTACTCGGCTTCTTTTGCTGGCTACTTTGTGACTGAACCTCTGTCAGAAGAGAATACACCTGGGGGATGAATAGAACAATCTACCAGTTACAGTCTGGAAAGAGATCCCATTTAATGCTCCTACACGGCATTTCATTTTGTGCTTCATATTGTCGATAAACTTGAAAGCAAAGATTCCAGTCAAAAGCAAGTGGGAGTTTAAACATCTGACGAAAAAGTGTACCACAATTTTGCAAATAAAGAACGGTTGCCCATAATCTTTATGTTACTTAATTTAAGGATAACAACCTTTGGAAATAGAAATGCAATAGGGAATAGGCCTATAAAATGGTTTCCCACACAGTGGTGGATTTTGAAGGATTTAGGAAGGATATGTTTTAGAAGGTAGAAAAATTAAGCTTAATACACCTTATGTATGGTTTTCCAGGATTTTGCAGGTTTCAGGACAGTACAGATGAACCACTATTACTTCATATGGGATTTAATGTTCAAATTTAGGTAAAATTAACATGGCCCCTTGCAAGTTACACCGGCACACTCGGGAAGGATGTTCAGCACAAATTTTGACTTGTACAAACTTAATGGCCTTGTTGGATGCATCAATTGCTTGATCTTTGTGTGATCGGTCTATTTTTTTTTATAATTTTGTCAATAAATGGCATCAGTCGATCACTGTTCCTTTTAATTCACAGTTGTGGAAGACTGCTTCAAAGAAGAAAAGTAAAGATGGGGATTTAGAATCTGGATTGACCAGCCATGTACAACAGTCGTGCAGATTTACTGATTGTACCCAATATCCTGCATGTTCAAAATGGGTTCAAGATGATTATAAACCTGTTCCCATGTTTTCTTTTCCGGCCTTTTCTTTCGAGCCAGAAAGAGGACAAAAAGGAAAACAGAATTTTGGAGGTCTGTTTAAAAAACACGGAAATGTGGATAAATCTGGAAAAATGGCATCTCTGGTTGATCCTGTATAAAAATCTCTGTCCTCCACTGCCATGAATAAGAAAGAAATGGCAATTGACTGGTGGCAGAATTATCAGCAAATAGTGTGATGAGATCATTTCGTGCAAAGATCGACTCGACCGATTGCACCAAACATGATACTAGGCCTAGATATCTAAACTCTGGAATAAAACTTTACCTCATAGTTGCTCAACATTGCGGCGTTTCCATCTACACTGTAAAGATACAGAAAATAATTTGAGTAAGTCATAAAATGTTTGTTTTATTACATAATATTTGCAATTTGTTGCTGCCCCTTAAATTTAAAAAGCGCCCCCAATGTCACACGATGGACATGCAATAACAGTGTGATGTGCCACTCGAGCCTTTTGCATGGAGGAAAAGCATTTTTATTTCTCCATGCTCTTTGGTTACATTTCGTTTCTTGACAAAGATATTAGCATATAATAGCTTCTTATCCAGCCAGTATCACGTATTACTTACACCTCCATCGTACACAGCTTTTTAAATCAGCAGAATGACTTGATGACAATGAAACATGGTAAGGGAAAATCATCTCTGTCAGTCCATCGCAGCACTGAACCCAGAATTAGATCGCAGCTGCATATTCCATTACTCCTAAAAGGGGTGTCGTCTATCAGAACGTCGACAGGGACATTGTTTTTACATATCCTTTCCCGGATCTGCAGCAAATAAAATGTTGAAAGCCATTATTTGTAATACTTTCAAAACGTATCCATTCTTTATCATTGTATTTGCTCATGAAGGGTATCAGTTTCAACAATAACTCGATAACCCAAGCCCTGAAAGTTATTGGAACGACCCTTTACCATGATTGATTCACGATTTCAGTGGCGCCCCAGCGCGGCGTACGCGCGCACGTACGTGTACGATTTTTACATGCCTCCCATCCCACGCATGTGTCGCGGCTCGGCGACAACGTGTAGGTCATCGCTCGGCAGTTGTGGTTCGTTGCACCTGTACCGTGTAAGTTTACTGTAAGATTTCGCTTACAAAAAACACCCAATCATAACTTTTGAAGGAATTTCTTATCTCTATACGTTTCTCTCAGCACTGTGGTATTATTGGCTATTGACAACCTGTGTATCTATGTGAAAATACGAAACATAGAATGTGTGGAGTTTCCTCCATGGGTTAACCTCGCCCCTGTATATGTCAGCCACCGTGCGCCGCTCTGGATAGACGACAGGTTTTGGTGCCATGATGTCGTCTCATTAAGTGTTCTGATGAGATATGGCCCTTTTTTTCTCTGATAAACCTTTGACCAGTTTGGTATGCAAGTTGGCTTTCATCTGCATATAAAAACCATTGCAAAATTGGATCATTGACACTGCGAACTTCGACCCACGACCTCTCCCTAAAACGGCCCGTTCATGGTCCAAGAAGTCCGTGATGAGACATTAAGATTAAAACACCTTGCTCTTCTGGACGCTGGAATTCAGGTTTAAAGGGGATTTACTCACCGGATATAACCTCGTTTTCTCCCATGAAGTTCATGTTTAAATGCATCAATGTGATCGACGAGACACTTGCTTTCGAAAGCTTGAATTTGCCGCGCTGTCTGTGACGTGACCCAGCCGCCATCGCTGAGTGAATCATCATCGCAGCGGCCCCTGACCTGTCACCGTCTGCCGTGGTACGCGGCGTGAGCCCGGGCGGCCATGAGCCAGACCAACTCGCATAACACCTCCAGCTCCCTCAGCTCCGCCGGCACCATCTCGAGCATGGAGACGCTACCGACTCAAGACGTGGTGGACGGCGACTTTGATTACCACGACGAAGTAGACGAAAACCCGGAGATCGTGTGGGGCCGCCTTTTGCCCGTAGGGAAGACTTTTTTAGCTGTTGGTAGGTTGTTTTTGCAATGCACTTCGTGACCAAATGATCTTTTTGCAAAACAAACATGGCTTTGCACAGTGCATTTTAATATACAAAATGGTGTGGGGTGTTTCTTGTTAAACTCCTGGTACTAATTATGTCATGTTTCAACAGATTTTCTTTACACACAAATGCAGCTCATTAAAATTTTTTAAACTTTAGTACCTTACGGAAAAAAGTTTGGAAGGAATTTATCTCACCAATAGACCTACAGTTGTGAAAAAAAAAGTAGGAATAAATTTTGTCCTATGGAGAGATAGCAAAATGTAGAAATATAGAAACCACAAAAATGCAGAGATGTACCCATTTATTTGCAAGGGTGCACCATAATAAGATCTTTCAAAACCTCTGAGCACGAGTGGAAAAATGATTCTTGTGAAATTACGTAAATGTTTGTGCCCATTTATCAGTTTCCTTAGCTCAGTTTGTTGTTTTAGTTTACATAAAAACAACACTGCCAGAGTAATATGAGTAACTGATTTACATAAGAGACACTTTAGTATTTGATCGTAAGTGAATTTGATCATGTATCAGGAAGTGCACCTCCTTTTTTTTTTTAGTGACTAGAATGTCTCTGTGTCAACCATATACCGAGCATACAATTCTTTGTGTTTTTGTTTTCAGTAGACTGCCCTGCAAAGATTTGAACATGCTGTTTGTGGCTAAAGTTTTGCTCAATATTGATCAAATTTAACATAGATTCCTAACCCTATTAAAAACCAACATCGCATGCTGTTAATGTGGGTCAGTCATTGAGCATCAGATCGGACTTATTGCAGGAAGTTGGGGTAATTGCAGCGAGCTGTACATTGCTGGATAATCAGCCAACAATGCACATCCTTATTCTTGTGGGACACATTTCCTTGTGAGCACAAATTATCACTCCATTTTTCCCTACAGTCCAAACCAAATTACCAGTTAATGTCAGATTTTCTTACCCGAAAAAGCTGCGGGGTGTGTTTTTTTTTACTTGCAAATTCTTCAACTTTGCAATTGCACTTTGACCCAACCAAGTACAACACGTTAATCAGTTAACCCCAGAAATGAAAAAAGGGTTCTTAAATGAGTGTACATGTCCTCTGTGGAACAAAAAAGGAAAACTATGTGTGTTTACACGTCATCCAGTGTCAAGTGGTGAAGACTGTCTAGACCACTTCTTACACCATAGTCTCAGTTGACAGCTGTTAAGTTAGACTGCAACCAAGTCTTGTGTCTCGAACTAGGCTGAAGTCTTTGCCTGTTGGAAATACATGGGCCATGCTGACAAAAGATATATCTTCAGTCTGACAGTTTGTTTTGGGACACAGTTGGACATGGAACTGTTTAAAAAACCTTAAAACCTGTAATTGTCTTATAGATCTGAAGGAGACGAGAGAACAGAGCAAGGATGAGTATGTCTTTGGTCGGGACTCATCTTGCGATGTGGCCTATAGCACTCCACAGATGTGCAGCAACCCGTGCTTCCAGGCTATCAGTAAAAGGCACTTCAGGATATACAAGGTTAGTTTGACCCACAACCTTGCACATCGTTCCCGCTGTCATCGAAATGAAGTCAAATCATTGCTTTGGCTTCTCGTTTAGTTAACTGTTCCATAAATATAATGGATCTCATTTGGAACTTGAGAATGAAATTTGACCTGGTTTACTCACGTCAATGGAGAATTTTCCAATATTTGGTCTCATCATCTTAGCTCAGTTTCAAATGTAATCTTACTGACGGAAACCACTAAAAAATTCTACACATCTTAGCTCTGTACATATATGGGACATTGGGAAGCTTCTGTGGCACAGAATGAGCAGCACTGCCCATAAAGATTTCATCTCAGGGGGCTGAATTCTTGAATCAGTAGGGTTCAGTGTACGGTTTACTTCAGTTCAGATGTTGTTCCTTTTCTCTGGTAGGAAAAGAAGAACAGCAGCGTCTTTGTTTTCATTGAAGACTTCAGCTCAAACGGCACTTTCTTGAACGGTGAAAAAATTGGCAAAGGACGGAAATCGCCCCTGAAGAACAATGACGAGATTGCCCTCTCACTTCCCAAAAATAAAGGTACCTAGACAACAGCCGATTGAATATGTGTTGTTAGAATAGCCTATCACTCATGGCAATTACAAAAGCAATATCTGTAACAAGTATGACAAATTTATGAAGATAATGAAGATTGAAAGAAAAAATGCATGGACAGTCGAACCTCGTTAAGGACAGGTCCTTTGGATTTGGCAAAAGACATTGTTATAACAGGAACCTTGTATAATCAGGAGTGAAAACAATGAAAAATAAAGGATTGGGACCTAAAGATTTCCTTATTATAAGCAGAATCTTGTATTAGCAGTGCTTTTAATGAGGTTCGACCGTAATAGTAAACTTTTAACCTGAATGCAGACATTGATCGACAGAAACAATTGCAACTGTTTAACACTTCAAATACATGTATTCGAAAGTTTGAATTCTGATAATTTAGTCTGCATGTAACCTTTTGCATGATAGTAATTTTTGACAGATTTTGTGCAGCTTTTTGGGTAAGGGTCTCTTCTCCCCTATTGGTACATTTCTCATGATGTTTCAGTTGAGTATTGAGCATAGGGAGACATTTGAGCTGTTGCATCTTGTTGTCAGAGTTTAACTAAATGATTTACTTGTTTGTAGCTTACGTGTTCATGGACAGCAGCAGCGACACAGAACAGGAGGATTTACCTGAAGCTATGAGAGAGAAATATATCTTGTCCAAAGTACTGGGAAGGTATGCTGCTCTTGCAACCATGAGGAACTATCTAATTTTGAAAGCAAAACACCAAAGATAAGACTATTCACTTTTATTTTTTTCACATGACCATCTCTTTATCCCGTTGGGAATGCCTGGTAGCTTACCTTACCCACGCATTAAATTCCTTATGTTTTCGTATTCAATAGTTCCTAATTTTTGTTGTTAGCGGTGTTAGAAAAAAAGAAAACAGATGCCCCCAAAGACATTTGGACAATTGAGGTGCTAGACATGTCGAATTTTTTCCCTTCGCTGAAGGTGGGCTATATATTTTCGAATCAAAACATTTTTTTGAAAGTTTCTTCAGTTACCTTACCAACAATCGATTAATTGAATGCCAACTCTTGGAAGCTTTTGTCTGACAAACGTCTAGACATTCTACGTCCCTGTGCCCACCTTCTACGGTGATAGGGAAAATGAGAGCATAAACTTTAGTTCCTACATCCAGATCAATGCAGGTATTTCAGATGCACCTTATTTATAGAAATATGCTCTGTGATATGATTACCAACCAAACGTTTAGACAAGCTTATTCAAAGTACAGTGCAAGTCCATTTGTCTGCTTCTCTGTAAATATTCACTTTGTAGTAATGTTCATTTTGTCAGAGGGGCTTGCGGATTGGTGCGGCTAGCTTTCAAGAAGGGTAGTTGCGAAAAGTTTGCCGTCAAAATTATCGAGAAGAAAACATTCTCCATTGGAGGGTCCATGCTGAGTGTAAGTTGTCTTCTTTAGTACGGATATTCTTTCTTTGTTTCAAAGAATTTTAGGTTTTACTTGTAAAAGTATGATTTAATTTTCAGGTTAATGTGTAAGAATACAAAAGTACCAATTGGTTATGATTGATTGGTTGATTTTTGCTGTTCATTTTTGTTCCTAATTTCAGAATATGGAAAAAACAGTCATGGAAGAGGTCAAGATCTTGAAAGCATTAAATCATGTAAGTTAACTTTTTTGGAGCTTGATTTTCCAACTTTTATAAATGCTATCCAAATACACACTGCATTTTTGTACTTTTATCTACCCACTTGTGACATTTCATGTGTCTGTGTTTCAGCCTTGCATTATAGCCATCGAAGATGTTTGCCACACCGACGACAGGCTCTACATTATCCTTGAATTGTAAGTCCGGTGCTCCAGAGATTGGCTTTTATGCCATCTTTTGAAGGGTACCTGTAATCCTATCATTGATGAAAATTGAAACTTCGCATAAGAACCCTCCTGTTGGCCTGTCAAAATCTTCTTTTCCTTCAGTTTGTGCCAGAAATGAGTTCTACATCCACCTTGGAACTCATGTTTGCTTTCCAAGAATTTTCTGACTGCACGATGTGCAGTATTTTACCTGTAATTTTTCAGGCCATACAAAATATTCCCGAGCTAGAAGATTTTAGAGCTTTTTACACCACCAAGAAATTTGCACTGGTGTAATTCTCCAGCAGTTTCCACATGGAGGGGATTTAGTAAAAAGACAAAGACGGTAGTTTAATGACCATTCTATCTGTGCTCCTTTTCAAAGATTTGTTATCCCTTCACAGGGTTGAGGGTGGTGAGCTGTTCGACCGGGTTGTCTCAGTCAAAAAGTTTGATGAGCTTACTGCTAAAGTCCTATTCTACCAGATGCTGTTGGCTACAAAGTATCTCCATGACAACGGCATCACCCATAGAGACTTAAAGGTAAGTTCCAAGAACCACTTTGATTCAACAATTGCTGCCAGAATGTTGCTTAGCATAAAATTTTTTAACGCCTATGTTTTTTCAACAGATATTCAGGGTTCAAACTTTTTTTTTTCCTCTTGAATAAAAAACTATTTTCTCCCCAGTTCCCTATATTTAAGTTGACCAAATTGTGGCGTTTTGATGAAGGATTTGCTCATACTTAAAGTCCAGGTTGAATCCTTCCTGTCTTTCGTATGACCTGCCCCAACAGCCAGAGAACATCCTCCTCAGTAACGATGATAGCCACACCCTCATCAAGGTTACCGACTTTGGCCTGTCTAAGTTCCTGGGAGAGAAGTCACTGATGCAGACGCTGTGCGGAACACCCACTTACCTGGCCCCCGAAGTCCTGACCAAGGCCGGCAAGACTGGGTACGGCAAGAGTGTTGACTGCTGGAGTCTTGGAGTCATTCTATTTATTTGGTGAGTTTTGAAACTAGCTTTTAAGATTGAGATATATCGGAAATGATTGGGAAAAGGAAAATCAGTTGTTTGGTTGAAGGAAGTATGGTACCCCACCTTTGTAAGAGAATGGTGGGAATTGATGTTTTCAGAAGACCGAAGTAGTAACTGGGTCATTCCATGAGGTTGGGGCGTAATTTGTGACGGTGTCCATTGTTACGTGGGTTCCGTGAAAATGAACAGCTATTTCCCTGCAGGTGGATTCCAAATTATACATCTTGCAAGGCTGAATACAGAGGTGTGTGTTAGTTTTACAGAGTAAATGATCTATTCTGCAGGTCATGTCAGGTGGCAAGAGTTACCCATGTGACAAGGACACCATCACAAATCGTGCCCCAACCTCATGGAATACCCATCTGCATTGCAGTCATGTAAATTTACTAGGTGGTATTCCAAAGCCAGTGTAGACTTAGTCCTTTGGAAATTCTAGGCCTGGAGCTCTTCAAACATTACCTAAAATGTTTCGATCTTTTGGCCACTAGTGGCCACTGCCGCGATGCCCCAGTGAGTTGCCATAATGCCCTGAAAATAGCGCGTACCTTTCGGCCACTTGGCCGATGTGCCCCTTATCAATGATCAGTAGGCTTACATGTATTTAAAGTTGTATTCAACTTTTTAGTTACTGTTTTGCACTAGCATTTCTGTCAACGGCCGGCCAGCCGCACCGAGCGCGATTTTTTTTCACGGACTGGTTTTGCATCGCCCTGTAGACAACATGGTATGGCAACCATACCAACGTAGTTGGGTTGTGAGATGGCACCAGACCACTTTTAGACATAGACTGGTTACAAGTGGCGAACAGAATTACACATTCTGCACCGATTTGATTCTGTACATTGCTTAATTTGAGAACGAGTCACTATTTTGGGGGGGGGATTGTGGACAGGAGTATGACCCAGTCTATTTTTTTCCTCGCTATTTTACTGGTATTCACGCGGGCGCTGGGCATGAAAGCGGGCTTCTATTGGATAAATGTTTGTGACCCAGCGACCGACCTGCTTGAACTGCATTGTTTGTGAATAATTACAGAGATTTTCGAAAGACAGTGTTGCCTTTATGGCATCATGAAAAGTAAAAAGACACAACACCAAATGGTAAATTAAAACTTAGTACAGTATTATTTATTTTTATTTTTACAATTCACGCAGACTGCGAAGCATGTGAACAGAATCAATGAAAATTGCAGGTTGAAAGTTAAAGTGTTGAAATTGAAGGAAAGTTTGTTGAAGCCACCAACAAGCATGATAAGTAAAAGTTTCCAAGTGGGCTTGGTGCCCTTCAGTTGGCCTTGGTTTTGGGGAGCATTCAAGGCCAAAGTGGCCTTGACCCTCTGAAGCTCAAGGCTGAAGCCTGACTTATTATTGCTTTTTGGACAAAGTTTTAGTTTTTTATATTTTTCTGTATCCATTCCAGTCAGGGAAGTTAGTTGAATTGTGTGCTGTTCTGTAAGATCTGTTCTGTCTCTCTGAAGTAACTGTTTTAAGACAAATTGAAGGTTGGTTATTTTTTCCCCAGCCTTGGTGGCTACCCACCGTTCACCGAGGAGGTCACTGTCATGCCGCTAGACGAACAGATCAAGAGAGGGTACTACAACTTCCCCACAAAATTCTGGAAAGGTGTTTCAGATGAAGGTGAGCAGAGAGTATGCACATTTTCTTTTCGTCTTAATGTGCACAAAATTCATTTCAAAACCACACTTTTGTTCCTGCTCAGAGCAGATCTGTCTCTTTTTCATTGTCTATGGGACATTTTTGCTTGGACCACATTTATCTGTGTAACGCATTGTACACTTTGTCAACTTCAGGATTCTTAGTTTATGTTTGAATTTTGTTCTGTCCTGCAGCAATTGATCTCATCAAGAAGCTTCTAACTGTTGATGCACATCGGAGATTCACTGTGAACAATGCTCTGGAACATCCCTGGCTTAAAGACGACAATATGAAGGAGATCGTGGAAAACCTCATGCACCCACCCTCCAAAAGGATGCCCCCACCTCAAATAAACGTATGTAAACTAGAGTAGCTCTGGTATTACAGTGTTGCCTTATGGGAGATTGAAATGGACCAATCAGCTTGCGGCACTGTTGACTGGCCCAAGGTGCCAAATGGTTAGTCCAAACAAAGTGTCATATCAGTCTTAGCCTGTGTCCAAAGATTGTGGCTGCGACTAGAATTAATATACACACCTAAGGAGGCCACTAGGTAATGGCTTACAACCACTTCCCATAGGTAAGTGCTACTCCTAGCCACAGCCAGCTGTATTTGACCGGATTAGATCTGTAGACCAACCACAGCATGATTGTATGACCTCTGACAGAGTAATGTTACAGAAATATACATAGCCACTGTATTCAGTGGCTACTTATGCTTGATAACGGAGCCAATGAGACCACAGGGAAATTGGAATTTGAATGTGATTAGCAGTCAGTATTCCCCTCGAGTAGAACTAGCCTCTCATCGTTTGAAAACAGCCATATTGGTTGGAAGTATTAAATTTGTTGGTAGCGATGCCAGTGCAACACTTGCGTTTCCTAGTCATTTGTGAACCAACAATTTGCAGTTAGTACCAAAGGGGCCTCCATTGCTAAGGAAATAGCACCCTCTCTTGGTTCAGCTCGAGGCCCATAGTCTCAAAGCTGTTACGACATTGCCTGTCCTCTAGAGGTCAGGTCTCCTGAAGAATGTTCTGTTTGCAAACCCACATGAGCTGTAACTTAATTAACTGGCTCTGGCTGACTGAGCTCAGAGCAACACACAAATCTATGGGAGTAGGTCACAGCCGCTAGCCAATGCCTTCATAGGTTCAAGTCCAAGTTTAAGCCTCAGTCAAGTAGTTTAGACACAGCCATTCATTGAGGCTTTGCAGTTCACTTATCAAAGACTGCCTTTAGAGGTTGTCACCAGACCTTCATACATGTACTCTGTGACTTAAGCCATCAAGTGAAGTATCCGAATGAATCGGGCACCAGACCAAACCTTTAACCAAATTGCACAGAGGAATCATGGGAAATCAAAGAGACTATAAATGGTTGTGTTATCTTTTTTAATGTTTTTCAGATTATGACAAAGAAAAGACCCCGTGATAAGGGCAGTGAGGATGTAAATGGGGAGAAATCAAGCAGCGGCAATGAATCGGCGAAGGTTACCCGACTGTCCGACAGCAGTGATGAAAACACTAGAAGCATCTCTGATGTGTCTCTAAATTAGGTTGAAGGGAAGATTCAGGGCGTCAAAGAAACACAAAATGTACAAACCAACTCCACGTATACTTGGTTTCCCCCCCCCCCCAAAAAAATCTCTGGCCTTGGGCACCAGAACTAGCTTGTTATGCACTTCTGCCTTAGAATCATTTTTAGAGGAGCTGGTGAGTGAAATGCCAAAAATAAACCCCCGAAGATTCTTGACAGTTTGGTTTTGTTGTTTCTCACAAGAGCAGTTTCTCAGTTGATTGAATCACTCTGGTGTGAGCAGCGTAAGTTCTGTCATCATTCCTAATACATTTGGATTGTGTTACTGAACACGCTCAGTTCTGTAGACAAGACATCCTATTAAACTGTGTCACACACTTTGAATACTGCTTTCAATAATACTTATTTAAGGATACATTCAAACTTGAGCTAACCTCTTTGTACACAAGTTCTCTAAGCACTGAACTTCTTGTTGGCACCAACTGGTCACTAGCTGAAAACAGTATTGCTTTGCTTGGTACCCTGCTCATTTTGCTCAGCAAGTAACTTTCCTCCCAAGTCAAAATCTTCTTCAGTGGAGCACCAAGAAAAAATGTTGGAGGTTACTTTGTATATATGTATAAAAGGGTTTGTGACAACTCAAAAAATGTCTGGCATGTTTTGAATGTGCTGCCTTAAAACACGGACAGAATGATAGTAATTTTAAGAACGTCATTATTGCTTGACTTTTTAAAGCCAGTCGCTTCAAAAAATTATTGAAAAAACAAAGATGAAACAAGGAACAATTTTTAAAAAACATATTAGAACTGATCAATATTGTGGGTTGGAGGATTTTTTTTCATGGAAAGAATGAGCTGTTTTGTTGAAGTGGCTGTGATTTCAGAGATGTTTAGTAACATCATGTTCAGTTCTGAGACATTTAGTAATTTGACAGCATTAGGTTTGTGCGTAATCCAGGTGAGAATTTATATTGTTCTAACACAACTCGCAAATATGGTAAATATCCAGGAAATGTTTTCCCTCTGGAACTTGCGGCTTTCATTACAAAATCAAGGTTGCATTTTCTCCAAGTGACATATCTGGTTGGAACAGATGTGGGAAAATTTGTGTTAACAGTAACTCTCTCTGCACATGACAAAATGGTACGTTACTTTTGAAAGTTAAAACCTCTTGTTCCCCACCTGTATGCAAGCTTAGCAAGTTTGATAACGGATCACTGGGCTCCGAGACCAAACAGGCAGGAAAAAAAGCAGTCCATTCCACACGAGTGATTACAACAATTTGTCGGTTGTATCACGAACTGACATATTGAGGGTCATTGTCACACTGATGTATCGTGCACACAGACTACAAATGTTACGTCACCGCAGGGTGCAATCAACAAATCGACCGATTTGTGCCAGCTGAGTCACTTGACCTACTGTGAATATTCCTCGGGAGGTTTTCCTCCCACCTCTAAAACTGTAACTGCTTGTCATTGTCTCCTCTCTACAGGTTTCTTTAGGTTTGCAAGCTACAGTGCCTAGGATGCTTTTGAGGAACCCTTGGTGTCACCAGAAATAAATAACAATTTCAAACAACAAACAAGGCGTCCTTTCATAGCAAAGTGTGTTATGAGTGGTGTTTACCAAAACTAATGCTGATTTTCAGTGTAATGCTCAGCACATCAGTAATCCGAGTACTTTAGCGACCGTCGACTTTAACTTTCGGTTAATGACACATTTTACTATGGGAGGACGCCTTGTTTGCTGCTGTTTGATACCTACGATAGGTCAAGTGACTTAGTGGGTGCAATTGGTTTATTTTACCCAAGACTCTGGGAACTTTGACCGCAAAATGAGGTTTCATGAAAATTGGGAGGGGGGGATCCATGGGAAAAATCTGTGGATTTTTTCTGTTCTGAAGATGAAGCAGTAATAAATGCAAAGCAATCTCAGCATTCCCGCTCTCTTCCTACCATGAGCCTGTCATAGTTTTTATTGACAGCATGGTTCCATTTGGTATTCATTTCACCAAAAAATCTTGCTGTCTTCTTGAATAAACGTGCAGAACTTTTCTACTGGAATTTTATGAAGGAATATCATCATGTATTAATTCAAATCCTTGGTTTTAAATATTCCAGCATAGTAGTATTCAGATATTTTTTTCAACTTGATAAACCCTAATGTAAATTATTTGAACTGTTCTTGTTAATAAAATAGATGGTCGGTAATTACATGAAACAAAGTCAAAGATTCATTGGAGATGCTTCTGTCTAAATATCATTATTTTATTTCATACATGTTTGATGAAAAGAAATGACATCCAAACGTGATGGAACTTTCGACAGAAAGAAGTCACTTGAATACATTGAACAAGTATGGGAAAAACTTGGCAAAATTTTCACGAAAACCCATCCATCACAAGATTAAAATGAGGATAAGAAACTTTTGTGTGTGAAAGTCCAGTAGGATCAAACATTTAGTCTGCAAGGTTTAGTCATCTTATACAATTAATTCTTGATTTCAACAAATAACACACTTTGTACGCGACACTATTACATAGTTTTGTTGATTTAACGAAAATCACATCTTCTGTTTTTAGATAATTACGCCTAATGATCAAAGTCCATCCACAATAATCCTGAGCACAGGGCATATTCTAATCAGCTTGTAACGGGCAACATGCTTGAGTAACTTTTTTTTACATGCAGGACTTTTGTCAATGAGTAGGGCCTTTGTCGTCGACTCTTTAAAGCATTCACGAAACGCGTTATAACTCGTGTGTAAATGATTTTAGTTCTGATGGTATTCCATTCACCAAATAAGGTTACCATATGCTGCTGGGGAGCCCAGTTTTGGAGACACTGGCTTTATATGCACAGACGGGGTGCACGAAATCGGACAAAGGGGACTGGGGCTTGTAACAAAAGACTCTACTCGGAACAAAAGACCGAGCTGCTGGGAATTTACAACATCTTTTCAGTTGTCAATAGCGGAGGAAATCTGTCATAGTTTTGAAAGATTACACCACTGTTTGTGGCATTCAGTGTGAGCAGATTACCACCAGGGACAAAAGTGCTCCAGTGATGAGCGATACAATACCGCTGCATGCTAATCTGGCCCCTATTAAAAAGACGTCAGCAGCGCACTCTGCCAGTTTCGGGGAAAAAAAATACACAACACTGCTCTTTTACAAAGGCGGCAGGCCTGGCTGAAATACTCGGGCGTCAATAGATGTTGCCTCTCGGATTAGAGTAGTCACCAGAGAGTTATTTGTGTGCTTGTAAACATCTAGTAAACGAAATTATAAAGTTGTAAAGAATTTTGAAAACAGAAAAATGAAAAATCACCCAGCCCAGTAGAATCAACATGGATAAATGGCCCGGCAGGAAGTGGTTAAACAGGACTTTAAAGTAAGTCCAAGTCCCAATTACTTGGCTGCGGCTTAAAATTACACATAACTCTGCAGCCACAACCACGGACCGATAGCGTTGTTTCAAGCCCAAGTTGGCAAAGTGGCTCTTTCCTGACCTTCCACCCCTGCAGCCCGGGTTCGAATCCCACCTAGGTTAGTGTGTGGATTGGGGTTTTTAGTGGAATATTTATCCAAGGTTTTCCACCTGCCTCTGAAACAACATGTCACTGCATCCTGTAATTGGCACTGAAAGTGCTCTTGGATGAACAGAAATAAAGTGTAGCTACACGTAGTTGGTGGTTTTACTGAGAGTTGATAGACATCAAATGTCATATCTGCACTTTGGGTGAGATAAAATGGCTTTATGAAAAAGCATGTCCTCTATGACACCACGGGAAAAGTCAGCAGAAGGTGGGCCTATTCTGTTTCATTCTGGCCTTACAGGTACCCTCCCATAAATCAGGTGCCGACAAGAGGGTACATGATAAATGGTTTTAGGTCTGTTATTTTAAGAATATGCCTAGCAAGCTATGGGCCTGTTTGTTTCACACTGATCTGGATCGCGATCGGTGATCCCAAAACCGGTTCGCGCTATCCATTAAGTGGGTTCTGGTGTCAGTCAACCAATGTCAGATCCCTGCTCGCAGTCTGAATCGGCATGAAATAACCAGGCCCAAAGTGAAGTAAGTGTGTACAGAATGGATTCCGAAAGGAGAAAAGTGGAAGACGAGTTCACCTATTGGGAAAGTGCAGGGCCTTCACTTGGCCATTATTTGTGAAGTTGTGTCTGTATGTAAATGGCCGTCTTTAGAAATAATGTACACCTATAGCAGCCACTGACTAGCGGATGAGGCCATTTCCCCTTGACTTGTGTATTATTGCCAGCCATAGCCAACTCATTTGGACAAAGCCTGAGCCTCTTAACACCCTGAACAGCTCCTGCTGTGTGATATATGAGTGGTTACTAATGGAGCTGCTTATTAAACCCCTTCACGACAGATGACTGCAAGAGCCACCGTAAAAATTGAGATCCTCAGCCTGCTTTTCAGCTATTATTCTCCGCCCATGCTCTAGCGAACACGGTGAAAGAAGGCATACCCTGGCTCTTGTATATATGGTGATTGGCCTTTGTGTGTTGCCAAGAAATGAAAAGGCCGAATTTGCATCATAATCACCAGCTTCACAATAGTCCCCACTTTGAAAAGATGCAACGGGAATGTGGAAGCGTGAGTAGAGCCGCATACTACTGAACAATCAGCCTTTTCACTGTGTAATTCAAAGCGTGCAGAGCACACAGGGCCACAAACCGAGAATTTGCGGTTTGGCAGCTGGCCTTCGTGGCCAAGCAAGACTGGAATTCTCGGAGTCGGCTTACAGAAAAAAGTTCCCGTCATCAAGGGGTTAAGCACAAAATTTGTTTAAGCATGAAGAAAACCTTGCACCAGCCAAAACTCCATGTGATGTATATTGTTTTGGAATGGTATTCACCTGTCTTTTGGTTAGCATGACAATCCCATAGATTTTGAGCTGGTAACCTTTGTTTTGGAAGCGAGGTTTTTTTGTGATTTAATAAGCAAATTTTGCACTTAAGCAGCTTTATGAGATTGGCCCCTGGTGACAACATTTACTGATGAAATTACAGTTTGGCTTGTTGGGCTTTCTGTTCCATGTACTTATCCCGAACCCTGTTGAACAATGCAAAAACCTCATCAAAGTGTGGATTCAGCTCAGCTTTGACGCGGGCGATCCAGGTGGCGAGTTTGGGATGGCCAGCAGTGACGTCGCGCCCTGAAGTAGTCACCTGCAACACCTGTGTGCAGCAACGGAGAAACGTTCAATGACCTCAGGGTAGCGCTGTGAGCGAAAACGAGGACTCTATTCTCCTTGTAATTGGTAGCTGCACGTTCAGAGTTGACTCAAAGTTGTTAACCACTTTGTGCCGGGGTACCCGGTTTCGGGGACATAGGCTGTATACATGAAGCCTGGAGCCTGAAACCAGACAAAAGAGCTGGGCCTTGTATTAAAAGACTTTATTCGGAACAAAAGACTGAGCTGCTGGAAATTGCCAACATTTTTTCAGTTGTCAATAGCGGAGGAAATCCGTCATTGTTTTAAAAGATTATACCACTGTTTGTGGCATTCAGCACAAGTGGATAGGACCGGGACAAAAGCGCTCCAGTGATGAGCGATACAATACCACTGCACACTGATCTGGCCCCTTTTGAAAAGACGTCAGTAGCGCACTGTGCCAGTTTTGGGAACACACAAAAATTACATAACACTGCACAATCTGGGCTCTTTTACAAAGCAGCAGGCCTGGCTGAAATACTCGGGCGTCAATAGATGTTGCCTGTCAGATTAGAGTAGCCACCAGACAGTCATTCATGTGGGTGTAAACGTCCACTAAATGAAGTTATGAATTTTAAAAGAATTTTGAAAACAGAGAAAAATGAAAAGTCTACCGGGCCAACAGAATCAACATGGATAAATGGGCCCAGTGCGAAGTGGTTAAATGAGGAACTTGTTCCTTAGCCATCTGTGCATTGTGAATGTCCGTTCATTGAAGCAATGTACTGCAAGGGCATCTGCTGACATGTCATCTGTTCAATATGCACGGTTTAACGTGGCCATGTTGTTTTCAGCTGTCTGGGTTCAATTTTTCTTGTTCCTGTCTCTCAGGCTGTGAATGAAGCTGTGAATTTCGTCAAAGTAGGGACTAAGCTCTGTCTTGATGCGATTGCTCCACGTTTGAAGAGTCGGGCGACCAGCCGTGACGTCCCTACCACAGCCTACTACTTGCTCCACCTAGGTACAATAAAAGCGCCAAATCTTCCTCCAGTCTGGGAATTCAAAGGAAACTTTAGGAAGCTACAAGACATTTTATAAGATATAACGTTTTTGCATCAAGATGTTAAATTTACATACTTCACATAGACTTCACCAACATTTATTCACAGTGCACAATTTTGTGCTTGCATAGGTGGGGCTCGAACTAATGACCACCTCCTTACAAGTGCGGACAAAGCATAAAATGTTTCTAAAATTAATACACAAGATGAAGGACAAGAAAGCCAATATCAAATTGAAGATGTTCTGGAAATAGTTTGGAAATTTGGAAAAATATTACAGTTTCAATCAACGTTTCAATCAGTTAAGCTCCTTGTGAACTAACAGCAACCGAATCTTCTTTCCTCAATCCTACAAAATCGTAACAATCCTAATGGGCAGGGGGTATTTGATGCATTACCTCACAGATTCCCAGCAAGTCAGCGATGCTGATTTTGTCTCCACACAGGTAGGGTTTGTCCCTCAGGAACACCTCCTCCAAAGCGGTGAGTGTGGTGTGCATGTTGTTGACGAGTGTCTGAAGCGCATCTTCATCCGGTGGTGATCCGGTGACCCTGGGTATAACCACCTCATGGAGTAAAATCAAAAATTAATTAGCCGTGAGCATTATTCTGCAAATATGTAATCTAAGCAGATATGTGCCTTCTGTGAAATTCTTAGTGGATTTTGATTGCAACAAGAAGGGTTACATCATTTATACATATTGAATAAGAAGTGATTTCACTCTTTCAGAATTTCATCGTTGAGTATTCTAACTCCATTAAGTTCCAGACAGACCAGACTCTTTTTATACATTGTAAATTTAAAAATGGCATCAAAGTCTGAGGTTAAGACTCTCTTTATCCTTGCCACAGAAGAAAATAATGGGAACACTCATGATACTAGTTGTGCATATCTTGGACATGTGCTGTTCCTAGAAAAAGCCGACTGTGGGTTTTACAACTTTGACTCGTCTCAAGTCATTTGGCATAGTTTCTGCCAGAATGTTCCTTGATCCTCCAAAACAGTGTGTACACTTTTATTGGGCTTGATCAATTCCATGTGAAGTGACAGTGGAAGGGCAACACTTTTTCCTTCAAAATCTTGGGTTGGGTTTTCGAGGACCAAGGAAAATTAGGGTTAGTAACGGTGTTGTAGCCAAGTCCATCACAAATTCACAAGCCTCCTGTAAGCTCATAAGCCCATCACAAGTCATCCACATTCAAAAGAAACCCTTGTCATCGTCCACCGTGTTACTTATGACCAGTCTTGGGATGGAGTCACCAACAACCCTGATTAGGGTTGAGGGTTCGTTTCGTGATAAGGATTTCGTCGTTGACTAACCTCATGGGTGAAGACGGTCGCACAGTGCATACGTGTGTTCATGTGCTGCCAGGCCAAGTATTCTTGTACCTTGCTTCGTTCTTGCAAGTCCTTAGGGTACCAATGGTCAGGTACCTTGTACTTTTCAGCAAGGTACTGCAATATCGCAACACTGGGAACAAGAAAGAATTCTAATCAAACTTCCATCTGTACTTTTTTCTATTTTTTTATTTTTGAAATGTCAAACAAGCTGGTTGCTGACTACATACAGTGATCTGAAATATGTAAATCCAAAAAATAGTGGGCCCGACACTTCAATCCTGGCAGAAACTTTCTCAAAGACAAAGGGACTGAGCCACGCACATGCTCACAGCTGTGTCATGTTTCACCACATATAACATGTTCCGTATTTCACCGTAACTTACCTCTCAGTCAGTTTAAAATGACCATCTTCAATTGCGGGAACTTTTCGGAATGGATTAATGCGACCATATTCCTCACTATGGTGTTCATCTTGGAAAAAAGACATAGGCAACAACACAAGAAAATGAACAGGGCATTTTTACAAAATGATCCATACCATAACTCCAATAAATTGCATTTAAATTCTGTACTAAATTGACTAAATTCTGTACATATCCCATGAAGTACTGTTTTATCACGTTATCAGATGTTCATGCATTGTACAATCATGAGTGACATCATAGACTAATATAATTTTATAATGATGTATAATAAAACTTAGCCTACAAGTTAACTTTTACAAGAATTTCCCGGTCTTCTGTTCATAATGTTTTAACAGTAGCATTTCTGTTTTAAAATTCTCAATGTTTTATGGTAAAAGAGTTCAACTAAAAAGCAGATTACTTTTTAAGTACTTTGTGGCAGATAATTTCTCCACAAATTCCACAGTACACCATGGCCGTCGCGCCAGGGAGTACGATGCCTACTTACTCTTTCTCAATGCAATAGGTTTTGGCGTGAAAGGGATCTTGTTGACTTTACAGAACAACATGACCGCCCTCGACGGCTGAGACATCAAGTCGAAGTAAACTTTCAAGCTCATCCCTCACACGAAATGTAATGTTACAGCAAAGAAAACAGTTAGATCCTTCAAAATTATGCAAACTAATTTGAGAATTAGCGTATCGACAGTGTTCCCGACCGTCCAGATTTGCAAAGTTAGCTCCAAGGCTTAATATGTACATGAGAAAGTACACGAGTAGTAAAGCTAAAACTTTTAAAAGGCCGGCGGCACTGTGACCTACCACGGAGGGTTCCTATATCTCAGAACTGTAGTAGTCTATAACCTAGCGCCACGGCCGGGCAGCAATAGGCTTATTATCAGCTTGGATTACGTAACGTGTAGATTGTGTCCTTCCTCCAAGCTGCAATTTATTGAGGTAGGTAGCTTCATGTTAATATCAAAATTACTCCACAGTGTCTTTTGGCTGTCAATTAACGACAGACATTCATGATATTTAGTCATGTTAGTGTCAAAGAGAAATTTCCAACTGCTTCAAAGCACGGAATCCTATTCGGCAACCATCTACATGATACTAGGAAAAACAAAACTAGGTCATCGAACTTCGTCTATTGACGTTGCAGATTTTAAGATGGCAGCCTCCATGGTCGCTCGCTCAACGAGCGAGTGCTCCGAGGGAAGTGGCGCAAACGACTGGTTTGTACATGAACATGCACCCTGTTATTTCTTGTCCTCATTGGTAGAAGGTGTTACTTAACAATAGACAACCTAATTGCTGTGGAAGAAATGCCACGAAACTGTCTAATTGTACTTCGAGAACTCAGCAGCATTCTCGCAAAATGACAGGTACTGCGCCGGTGAAACAGCGACCTTGGCGAAGTACGCACGCACCAGCCAGTCCGAGGATCGGGTTATAGAATCTCTTCTTTGATCTGTACGTACGCGCGCGCTTGTTGCAGTTGTTTTCACCGGCTTCGGTTAGGTTGCTACCCGTATTTTTGTGAAACTCATGTCCGCGCTGCCCCATAGTACTATTAGTAGGATAGCATCTGTCCCAACTTCAGCTGGGCTAGTCCCAACTGTAGTGCTGCAGTTGGGCTGTCATTGTAAACAATATGACTGTGGCCCATGCTGGCCACATGCACACTGGACCTGTGTTGTAGTTGGGCCGGCCCAACCATAGCACTCTAGTTGGGATGGGCCCAACTACTGAACTAGGCGTACAGGCTATAGTTGGGACTGATGCTGCAGTTGGGGTGGATGTCAGACAACTCGACCATTTGCCAACTCGACTTTGGGCAACTTGACCATCTGTGCGTAAAAAGGAGAGACAAGTCGACCGTCGAGACAAGTCTTCTGTTGAGACAAATCGTCCGTTGAGATCATTTTATAAAAGCCAAGTCATTTGTTCAAATGTGTATAAGTTGAATATAAATGGAATTTCACATTTATATAGTCCCTAGTTCTGAGTTAATGTAATATGATGGCAGTAAGTAATCTTTATGTGATCTACCGCCATACCGGTCTTATCAGGCAGGAAGCAATTTACGTATTGCAATTCCATTCCAAATCCCTGCTTCGTTTTACAAGGGACGACTTCACCTTTTTACAACTTACAACGAATATGCCATGCCTGCACCATCAGTGATCAAGCACTTGTCACCATTTACATTTAAATTGTATGTATTTTCTTCAGCCGTTGACACAATGGAGGAACCCTCATCGCCCAAACTATTGGTTGAAAATCCTTCAAATTCAAATGGACTGGCTTCACAGTAGGCCTACACAGTTTTGAAACTTAGCGCATTCATGGCATTTTCATGAGATTTAGTCAAAAATGAAAACCGCCCAGTGTCCAGAAATTGAGTAGATGTTGGACCAAGCGGGCCGCGAGTAACCAAGCTGGATGAGGCTGCCACACCGTAGCACCGCAGTTCGTCGACGCGTGTGTGAGCCCCAGTCAGAATAAATCATAGCACCGCCAAGTGGTGTGGAATTGTAAACACAATGGGGGAACCCTCATTGCCCAAACTATTGGTTGAAAATTCTTCAAATTCAAACAGACTGGCTTCACAGTAGGCCTACACAGTTTTGAAACTCAGCGCATTCATGGCATTTTCATGAGATTTAGTCGAAAATGAAAACTGCCCAGCGTCCAGAAATTAGGCAGATGTTGGACCAAGCGGGCCGCGAGTAACCAAGCTGGATGAGGCTGCCACACCGTAGCACCGCAGTCCGTCGACGCGTGTGTGAGCCCCAGTCAGAATGAATCATAGCACCGCCAAGCGGTGTGGAATTGTCTGAAATGAAATATCCCGCGGGCCAGGATGCACACATGTAGTGTCAAAAGCAAATCTTGTACCCACGCTGTCCTACCCACTCTTTTGAATATTATTATGTGGAGACATCTCAACAGTCGAGTTGTCTCGATGCCAGAGTCGAGTTGTCCTAACGGACGATTGCGACTTGGCAGATGGTCGAATTGTCCCAACGGGCGAGTTGTCCGAAGTCGAGATGGCAAACGGTCAAGTTGTCCTGACCCCTTTGGGGCTTAACAATAGTATACTCGTGTGTGACTTTGAGAAAACAAGTTTTACATGGCGTTGGAATGCTATGGGGTTTTGGAATCAAATTTTTTGTGGTGAAATGCTTCACAGATGTAAGAGAGCTATTAAATAAAATTTTCCCCTGTCAGCAAACCAAGTTTCAGAGCATGAGACGGAGTATTTTTGAAAAAAAAAAATGAATTTTTTGCTCACCAATTTCTCACTTCCAGTGACCCGTTGACTGTTGCTCCATTCATGCCGTTTGTGTTTATCAAACTGCACATGCGTCGAACCCACCAATGACTGCACTTGCTTTGTATCTTGGCTCGACCATATGTTTCGTAGATACCCCAAGCATGACATTGCCAAAGAACATTGATGAATAATGAACTGAAATATACAATACTTGGGACCGAGTGGGAACTTGTTGCCAGACGTAGCGAGCATGTGGCACGCATATTATTGGCTCATCCAATCCCAATCCCGTACAATGATGATGCACACCCATGAAAATACCTGACAGCTGTTTGCTTTCAACACGTTCATTGCGTTCATGTATACTCACATGGCTTCACTACGAGTGATACAAAGCAGTCATGCTATTTAGTGTCAACAAGTGTCAACAAACACGAGTAGCGTCAACAACCTGAAAATACCCTCTACAGATTTAAAAAGAAGTTTTGTCATATTTTAGAGACTCTAACACTTGCCATTGTGTAAAAGAAACACTGAATTTGCTTCTAGATTCTCGCAGATAAATGAAAAATTTTTGCGATGTATGGGGGCTGCCGTCTTTCTTTCCTCTGTCGTCCACGCGAAAACAAGATGGCGGCCGGTCGGACTGCACATACAAGCCCGATTTTGTCACTCAAATTTCAACTCTCAAATATCATTTCAGATATGATACATTGAATTTGATATTAAACATTAGAAATAAAAAATCTTTGCATAAATATGCTTGAATAACTTGTTGACGCTTTGTTGACGCTAAAGAGCATAACTCATACAAAGTCACTGATAAAAACAGCAGTTGGGGTCACCGTCTGTAACGCTGTCTAATCCCAGACCAAACAGATCCGAACTGTGTTTGGCATTGGTCAACGATCGGGAGATGGTCGCTGTAGTAAACGAATGGGGGAGGGAATGTGAAGAAACATAACAATCTAGTGTTACATTTTTCAGTGTTGAGACAGAAGATGAGACAAAGGGCTACATGCAAGAAGAGCCACAATACCAGCGCCACAAGACTGGACACAAGTGGCTGGTTCCTCTAGAACCATGCATACTCGCAGTAGAAATATTCTTGCATGGTGCCACCACAAACCCTTTACTTGCCACGTTCACCATGAAAAACTCAAAACGCGTTTGTTGCATTTGTTTTGGAGGTTGTGTTAGTCTTGAGATGGTCTTGTGGGATCTCGTGATAATCTCAAGAGGTCTTGACTGTAACACTGGTTGCTTCTGATGTGCCGTACTCGCTGTAGTACTCTGTACTCGCTGTAGTACTCTGTACTCGCTGTAGTACTCTGTATTCGCTGTAGTACTCTACTCGCTGTAGTACTCCGTACTCGCTGTAGTACTCCGTACTCGCTGTAGTACTCTGTACTCGCTGTAGTACTCCGTACTCGCTGTAGTACTCCGTACTCGCTGTAGTACTCTGTACTCGCTGTAGTACTCTGTACTCGCTGTAGTACTCTGTACTCGCTGTAGTACTCCGTACTCGCTGTAGTACTCCGTACTCGCTGTAGTACTCTGTACTCGCTGTAGTACTCCGTACTCGCTGTAGTACTCTACTCGCCGTAGTTTTCTGTACTCGCTGTAGTACTCAGTAAGTGCTACCCTCAGTGTCAGTGCTTCACATTTTTCTCCAAGTTCAGGACTTCGAAACACCAAGTCTAAGTCACTTGAAGTCTGAAGTCATTTCAGTCAGTGTGTTTTCGTTGAAAGCAGTACCGTAATTTATTCTTGTGTGTGTATTTTTTTTCTTTCAGTGAATTGCAACAAGAACTTGGGCTTTTGGAGGCCATTTATGTCAATGAATTAAACGTGGACTACAGTGACAGGTAAGGCAAGCCTGCCCTGATATCACTTGTCATAACACGGCTTCTCTTTCAGCATTCTCAGAATGACTGAGACATTGCTGTCCCTCCAGATAGGATGCCAGTCGTTTGCAGATTGCCCCTGGTTAATGGTGACTTCCAATTATCTGCAAGGTAGAGCAAGGTATCGACTGGCAGAGGGCTGAAAGTGACTTGCATTCCGGTAACCCATGTCCCTCTCTGTCCAAGGTCTAGCTGTAATCAAAGGAACTAATTTGTTAAACCCAGTCATGACCAAAGGTTAGATCGGTCCTCCAACACCCGAAGTTGCAAACCATCCAGAATGCAGTCTACTTCCCTTGCTGTACATTATACACGACCATTCACCAATAGCAGATTAAGTTTCCTTTACAGGGCTTAACAGTCAGCAGATTGAGTGATTTAGACTGGTCTTGAGAATGCTGTGACTTTCATGGTTCTATCAATTGACATTAAAAGTCACAGGAGCCGAGCCAGCTCATGTTGCTCATCATATGGGCCTAGAATCCCTAACAGTTCAAAACAGCCACGTGACTGACTTTGACTGAAGGCACAGCTTTGTCCGTTGTGTCAGCTTGAGAAGGAGACTGTTCATTGTAAACACCCTACTTTAGGTTGCATGGATTAATGGGTGCCTATTTTTTCTTTGCAGTGGGGTTCCTGATGAGTTGAGCATTGTTCTTCATCCAGCCACCGCGGGCAACGTTGACCAGCAATACGTGTGTCTAACCCTCAACCTCCAGTTACCAGAACAGGTATGGAGTTGTCAAAGAATCGCAGTGGTTGTCAATTGTGGACAACAGTGTGAGTTAATCCTTCCTCTGATTCCTCCTCTGCTGTGATGCACCCTTCATGGAGGTTATGGTCTCTCTGTGAAGTCCATTCAGTGACGAGTTAAATAAAAACTCCGAAAACTACTGTCTAGAGTAAATGCCTCATATTACCGTTGTACAATTTGACCTCATGTTGACATTTTTATGTTCATTTGGAAGCCTAAACCTTCACTGGCAAGGGGTTTCAGTACTTGATCAATTTGGTTTAGAACTTCGGGTGCCAGACTGGTTCATGTGAGTTTTGAGACATGAAAACAAAAACGTGTGTGCTCGTAACCATATCCTACTGGATTTTGGAAACCGCTGTGTGGATTTGGCACAGTAAGGTTTAATACCCAGATGCTCCTTTGTTGCCTTCTCACAGTACCCACAGAGACTGCCAGAGATCACTGTCAGGAACCCGAGAGGGGTGTCAGATGAACACATTGCCAGGTGGGTACCAAAATGGGTGCCTTCAGGTAATTCGGGCGATTCACAATAGTGCGCCACCAAGGGTTTGCAACACGTTGGCCAATCATAACGCACGAAATTTTGTCGACCCTTTCTAAATGCGCATTGGGTCAGCAAGTTTCACGCATTGTGATTGGCCAACGCGTTGCAAACTCTTGGTGGCGCACTATTGTGAAATGGCCGTATTGATGGTCTGTTCCGTTGTATGTGTTAGGTATCACTAGTTAGTTATCCTGTGTGGATTAGTTGGCCACCCAGTTTTTTGTACGTTGGGGATCTCTTTTTCTGTATCTAAAAAAAAAAATCCTGTGGTCAATTTAAATCAGTTTTTGGTTGGTTTCAGGGGCTGCTTGCTAAATCATTGTTCTTGGTGTTGGAAGAGATTAAAACTCTATGCTTGCTTTTAATGTGGGAGTATTTTGAGGGATATTTACGATATTACAACTGTAATTTGTTTTTACATGAACAGAGGAGTTTAAAGCTGGCAAAAATTATTATTAATATTATTTTTATTATTAAGTCTTTCTGGTTAACGAAATCAAGGATTCCTCAAAAGTGCCCTGTGCACTGTAGGTCTTAAGCCTGAAGAAACCTGTAGAGAGGAGACAATGAGAAGTTACGGTTTTGTAGGTGGGAGGAAAACGGCCCAATAATATTCTGGGTAAAACCCACGGAATCAGGTAGGGACTGAAACCCGATCCACATGTGGACCGAGCCGGGAATCGAACCTGGGGCCACAGAGGTGAATGGCAAGGAAAGAAGTACTTTGCCAACCCGACTCCCGAATGTTTTATTTGCCCCTAGCTGTTAGTCTGTGTGGTTATTAAAACTCATTCATGACCAGTGTCCAGACATTCCGATCCTGAGTCCCCAGGCATTTTTTGCTAAGAATATTACGGAATGCTCCAAACAATTCCACTGTGCCGGACACCAGTGGCACAGTGCTGGTTATGAAACTTTTGAGGGACATCCTCTAAGGATCAAAGACAGCAGAAATGTACAAAATGGGGCAAATGTACACTATTGTGGTACTGAAGAATTATATCATTCCCTCCGTTTGTCTTCATTCAGCCTGGGTGCTAAGCTGAACCAGATAGCTGCAGAGAGACAAGGTGGGGCAATGCTGTATGAACTCATTGAGGTGAGAGGTCCGACTTCTCTGAAAAAAGTAACCGATTCACAAAGAGTCACGTATGCGTGGGGTGTCATGCATGACTACCTCCGTAACTTACTCATGAGAACAGATCGAGGGCATTTATTGACATGGGCCACTTTCTGGTAGCTTAGAAGAAGAAAAGGTTACTTTGCAGATTTTAATCTATTAAGCAAAAATGGGCGGGGAACCAGATTCAAGCGATACATTTTGCATGTTACCTTGGCCGGTGACCTGCCTCTGTACTTCACTCGTTTTTGTACTCACAGTAGCTCTACAAAATCTCGTCCCTGTGTGTAAACCGCAAACAATTGGTCTCCATCTCTATATAAGCAAAGAAACTCATACACATTTGGCCAGTGTTCCTCACATTCCTAAGGTGACTTTGTTCTCGATGGAAAGGGCAAGGCAATGTCTCCTTCACAAAAGGGCACTTGTATCAGAAAATCAACTTGCCTGTGGAAAACATTTGAGTGGGCATCAGGCAAAGGCCAGGGGTGTCTAGGTAATCACCTCTAGTGCCTCTGTGAAACCCCTGCCCTTCATTTGTGTGAACATTCATTGTCAAGTTTCCACAGTAGAATGTGAATAGGCAGTTATCCTTAAAATTACTATTGATATTTTAAAAGTTTTAGGTTTGTAAGAACAAGTCAATGAAATAGATAACCTGCAACCTGCAGGTAATTTTAGTGGAGTAATTTGTAATGTTGACGAGGCTGCATACGGTGTATTTTTTATGAAGCTTTTCTCATCTTTTTTTCTGACTGGTTGCTATGGCCCAGGTTGCTAAGGAGAGCCTGACCAGTAACAACACTCCCAGCTGCCAGTGCGTGATCTGCCTGCACGGTTTTACAGAGACGGACGTCTTCACCAGGACACCTTGTTATCACTACTTTCATAGTCAATGCCTGGCCCGCTACCTCAAGCATGCCCAGGAAAATGAGGAGGAGGTGAGTGGGTGGGAAAGAAAATTCTCAAGCAGTAGATGTTGCCGAGCAAATGTGATAACGGGAAGGTTTTGCTAGCAAACAGAAAGGGTTAGCGTGCTGCAGCGGTCACCGGTTTGTGTCATCCTGTGGTGTCAGATGCAACTCACAGTCCGCACTGTGCTCATGGTGCTTACATCTCACTGACAGTTACACATTAGTGCTGTAAACAGTCAGTTTTTGCTTTTGGCCATTTAAGCCACGTTTGTGCGGGAGGATGTGTAAACGTGACCTGGCAATTTGCCAACATAGCGACAGTCTAGGGTGACATCTTGACCCTTGTCCTGAGTCACTACTGATAGACATTTACACAAGCTAATCCCCATCGGATTTGTGCATGAGCACAACATCCCAAAAGTCTGTTGAGGATGACTGTGTATAAAACGTGAACTTGGCTGCTGCACGTGGCCTATTGCCTCAGATTTTACTCCATGGTGGCATGCCCCGGAGTGTTCCAAAATGTGAGGTTATGGTCAGAAATATTCTGCAAATGTGATTCAAATGACTCCGGCTCATCGTTTGTGGCATTTATCTTGCCTTTTTTGAAAATCAAAATTTTGGCCAAAAATATTACGATCCACAAGTGTTTTACATTTTTTTTGCTAAACAAGCTTCCCTGTCCTCAACAAATCTGGACGGTGTGTTGATAATTCAGGGTATAGTAAAGTGTGGAAAATGGTCCGAAGTTCAAATCCCACCACAGTCAATTTTTGTTTTCCATCCTTTTTCATGTTATTCTTTGAAAATACTTGAAAATCAGGTCGCTGACTTCAGTGACCTGAAATGAACAGGCCTCGAAATAGTACTAGCCTGGCGTACAAATTCTAGTGAAAAATGCTCCGGGCTACTTAATCTTGGTTCCTTGGTTGCCCAGTAAAAAATTCAGTATAAATCTACCTGGTAAAACTTAGATCAAAGTATATAACGCTTTTTGTGACAATATATACAAGATCGCAAAAACTGAGTTGTTGTGGATGTGTTTTTACTTGTGTTTTTGAAACGTGATGCTCGCGCGACAGGGCGATAAGCGACCATGAACGCAATGAATAGAGTAGACTGGTGGGTTGTAATACTGGTATAGCGTAGCACATGGTACGGTGCGATACCGCACATGCACACTATTCTCATCCACTGTTTAGGCCACTTCTGCTTCTGACTACATGCCTCTCAAAAATAGTATCGGTAGTTCGGAATTTTGTTTGGTCAATTTTTTGTGCTGATGTAATAGCCTGAATGGGGACATCAGCTTCCAAAAATGGTCTCACACAGTGATAAAAACATGTCTTGCTATATGTAAAAATTTCTGCAGTCAACAATTCACGAGAATTACGGACAAATCACACAATGCTAGTCAGGTAACCACGACGGCAAATTGGCCAGCAATGTCCCTGTATCACGTGGTAAGCGTACATGATGCATCCAGACGGGCGATAAACCACGTGCCATGGCAGGAACTCATGAGCACAGGAAATAAATACATAAATAAGAGACCAAGTTCTGTAAATTAACTTGAAGAAATCCTCTTGCAACATCAATGTTTTTTCGACCTACAGCTGTATGGCTGCATGCATGTACAACACCGGTGTAGTTTTAATCGACTCACAACTGGGACGTAAAGACTAGTTACCACATTTCCATCATGCTTTCTTTTGCACGGGCGAGGTGTGGTGGGAACCAGCATAGCTTTGCTTTCATGAATTTAGCTTTGTGCACTTGTTTTCACCACTGCGGCAGCGAAATGCGGGTGGAACTTGTGAAAATGACAGAAGTTTCTTTGCAAAAATTGCAAATGTAAGGACGTGTAGGAAAACATGTAAAAACAAGCATTTTAACATGACAAAGGGTTGTTGAAAGGTGTTTTGTGAAGACAGAAAAGACATCGGCATTAATTTTTAAATACTTTTTTAATTTTGTAAATTTGTTTCTCTAACTTGCCGATAGAAATTTTAGGGTCAGGCCGAAAAATTAGGGTTGGTCGGGAAACCGAAACCAGAAGTATTTTTTGGGGCCTTATCAATTTTTCTGACCTTACTTGGCTGCAGCTAGCTAAACTGGGCATTGCAGGAGTCCTTGAAAGCATTTGATATGAAGTCTACACAAAGCCGCGTGCAAACATTACCCACTTCTGATTGGAAAAAATTTTCTCTTGTTCACCGTGCACGCGCAGAGCTCAGAAAGAAAGCAAAAAGTGGCAATTTTTGCCAAACGTAAGCAACCCAAATGAGAGGAAAGATGGAGCAAAGAGATGATTTTGATCCCAACTCCGTGACCAGTGACTCATGCGACTTTTAACTAACATACATGCCTCTTTAATATTTATACCATCAGCCTTTTATTTCCGAAATGTCAAATTCTTTATTGGTAAGCTGATAACAAATTTTGGGTTTATAAATTTTTTTATATACAGACTAGTAAAATATCCAGTTAACTAGCCCAGTGGGCTAGCCAGGAAAAAAAGCCCAGTGGGCTAGCCAGGAAAAAAAGTTAGCGCAAGGCCTGATGAAAACGTCAAAAGTTAGAGGAGCTGATCTTCAATCCAAGCAAAATGTTTTTCAAAGGCCAAAAACTTGATTACAAGTTTCTGATCTGTGATTCCCTTTGTCAGTGCGTCTGTGCCGTCTGTCGAGAGCCAGTGAGCTGTGACCTCGCCCAGCTGGAGGGCGCCCCACCTCCAAGCTCTCTCCAGGAAGTGTACACCCCCAATAAGGCCATTCACGACATGCAGAGAAAGATGGCTGCCCTCTATAAGCGACAGAAGGAGAAGGGTGGAATCATTGACGTGGAGGCTGAGAACAAGAAGTTCCTGATACATATCTCACAGGTGCGTGTCTTGTTTGATTTATCAACGGAGAAAAGAAAATCTCAGACAAGCTAATAGATGGGAACTTTTTCTGGCAGGTTATGTTGTGTGAATAGACCACAAGTGAATCTACTTTGATTTATTGTACATATTTGATTGAATTTCAACATTATCTCTACTAAATTATCCGAAACGCTTCACCATTTTCAAATTTTGATTGTATTGTCAGTGACCACTAAATGCTCAAGGGTCAGATCAAGATATAAACTTCTTACAACCTAACTTGTCTAATTTAATGGTTTTTGTCAACATTTTTCAATTCTGATGTTTCAGTCGCCAACGCTGCCAGCAAATGTTGGGATAACACCGGTTGCAGCACTGCCACAGAATCAAGCCAGGAGAAGTCCCGTGTCACTGAGCGACATGAGGAGAGCCCCACCCACTGAAGAAGGAATGAAGGAATTGCCCAATGAAAGCGCAAGGTCTGCCGTGCAGGTGGATAAGAAAGATGCCAGTGATGCCAAAGGGAGTCGACCCAGATCAGCCCACAGGAATGACTTCAAACAAGGTGGGAGGGGTGGGGGTTGGGGTCAGGGGTCAAGGGGTAGAGGTCAGAGACGACCTGGTGCCAGAGATCACCACTCAACAAATCCGGGCAGTGGCAGAAGGTCAGAGTTCAAAGGACAACGTGTAAACAATGAAGCTTCAGCAAAGTACACAGGTAGTGAGAATACACCTGACCGATCAAATTGCAAGACTGAAAATGCAGATGTTATTGACCAATCAAAAGAGTTTTCTAAAAAGGCTCCCATGCATGCACTGGGTACAAGAAGTAAAGATCAGCATCATTGGTCAGGAAGACAGAAAAATAAGTTTTCAGAGGGAGAAAACAGACATTCTAAGGAAGAAATTAACGGCGGATTGAATGAGACCTTGCCCAAACCAAATGAGGAAGTGGCCAAAGATGAGAAAAGGCACAAGAATAAAAAGAAATCTGGGAAACTTGAGCAAGAACGAGCTGAAAATACTCCATTGAAAAGCAGCTCAGGCATGCAGCAAGAGGGTAGAACCGCATCTTCAAAGCATGAAGTAGATGAAAACAAGTCGTCTTTGGATAGAGATTCAAGGTCAAAGGTCAGTGGCACAAACAGTAATCAAGAGTCACCTTCCAGAAAAGACGGGGAGAATCGTCAAAAACGTAGGCATGGTGGCAGAAACGGTGCCCCTAAAGTGGAGACAGGATCTTCACAGAAAGCTAACAGGAGCAGCAACAAAGGGCCAAGGAAATTAGATGAAAACAGTAGACAAGATTGTGGTAGCCATGATGACAAGCAACATACTGACAGTGCAAACAGTGATATTACAGGAGCTGACCACGAAATTGGTAGTGGACGGACGAGGCGCAGAAATCGCAACAGAAGAGGAGAGACTAGCCAGTCAAAGAACTCACCACAGAGCGACGTTCAGGGCAAAGGTCAGGATGACACATGTGAAAGGTCAAAGGGCAAGGCAGACATTGAGGAGAAGAGCGAAAAGAAAGGTTCTGCTAATGTGAAGATTGCAGTTGCAGAGGTCACATCTCAAGAGGGTGGGTCCAAATCTGAAAAATGGAAACCAGACAGAGGACCACCCCCAGGCTTCAGCAAGAGGACTATTAGTCATCAACCAGGCTGGAAACCCACATCAGTCAAGCCTCCTCCAGGATTTGAGAATGTTAAGTTATGACACGTGGCCTTTTGCCTTAAAGGTCTTCTGCCCAAAGAGAGGAATATATTACCAAAAAGAAACTAAAAAGGTAAAGTCTGATACATACTTGTAGGTGTGAAAATTCACATTGATTGTAATTTCCCTTCAATTATCCCAAGGAATGTGAAAGGATTTCTCCATTGTACTTTTTTTGTGTAAATTTGATAGTTTGGCCGCTTGTAGAGAAATATGCAAACAGTAAGAACAGTTGCTGTCAGTTCACCGCACATTTACTAAGAGTATTCCACGTTTCCGATGATGCACTTTAGAGAAATATTTACAAATGAAGCTCATTTCCTCGTGCAATAAGTAGGTTATGTGGGATTCCAACCACTCTGATTAAATCTACCATCAAGTGTTTCAACATTTTGATTTTGATTGAGTCACGATAGTGGAGCTTGAGTTGTACTGTAGTGGTGTGCATTCATGGGTAGTTGAGCAACCAGGTATGTGACACCCATAATAGGTGGGCACCCGGGTAACTGTAATTATTGTTTTTCCAACGCATCCATGCCCACATTTTACTATGAAGCTGCTGTTGGCAGTGGGAATAGTTGGTCTTAAACAACGGGCATCTCTTTCCCTGAGTGTCACAGTAATTGTCATCTCCAATGTAGACGATGGGGAATTGTCGGTACACGGTCTCAAAAGATGTTTTATTCAGATTTTTTTCCTGTAATTTTCTGGCAAGTAATCAGTAGACAAAGGTGCATGGCTTTTTAAAATGCTGGATCAAAATTTCACCAAAACAGTATCGGGTAATATGCAGGGTTGGCTGATTTGAATCACCGATTTAAATCATTTTACATCGCATGATTTTTTTGGGGAAAAAATCATTGATTTAAATCAACATATTTAATTCTGGGGGAAAATCTTTGGGGTCTTGCACATTGTAAACAGCAAATCCCCCTCTCTGAGCCGTCCAGTTCCTAGTATTAAAGAAGTATTTATGCACACGTGTTACACAAAATCTGAGTTGGCAAAATGTTTTGTTCAATTCAATTCACTTGTCTTGATTTAAATCAGCTTTTTGGATTCAGTAAGTGAAATGGATGTGAAGGATTCATCATCGTGATTTAATTTGACTTCATTTGAATCGCCCACTTGAGAGTTTGACATGGTAAAATATCGGTGTACATCTACCTTTTGTATACAGGTATGCATGTATTTTATTGACATTAGAAACGTTAGTCACTATGCAGTGTAACTAAAACCACTAAATACATGTACCCTTTAATAAATGCCCTTAATGAAGTGATTTTTAATCAAGCGTAAGTCATTGCTCTGTGGAGCTGGATCACAAACAAAACGAGACTGCTTTTTGCTCATAGAGCAAGGTACAATACCAGCATTTTGTACACTGTAGCATGCAAAATACATTCATGTACCTGTTGGTCATGGCTTGTCTCTCACTCAGTAGTCATTTGATGCATGAATAGATACCCTGTTAACAAATTCATGTAAACTCTAGTGTTATCAAAACTTTGAGTTGGCTTGAAATTCTTGTATGCACTTTATCCTTGGTACATGTACATGCTCATGTCTCTGAAGGAGAGTCTTCTCTTCGGTCACATGTACTAAGACATGTACTGGGACAAGGCTAAGACATGGAGGTCTGTGAATTTAATCAAACTACTTGATTTAAATGTCTTAATTCAAATCCAAACTTGTTTAATTTGTGTAACAAAACAAGTAAATAAAAGAAAACTATCACACGTGCAACTAATTTGCCATCAGAAGAACAAGTGTCTTTGTTAAACTCTGAAGGAACTTATGAAATGGACATGAAAATCAATTACACTGAATTTTCTACAGAAAGCAGCATAGGGTTTGCAGGCCAGTAAATCGGTCCAAAATTGCCTGCGCGGACCAAATCTCGAATTGTAGGCTGTCAAATTCTCAGCTGTTAAAGCCTTTTATGGCACGTGGACTGGGTGATTTGTTAAAAAGGTGGATGAAATGCAGGGGCAGGACTGTCAGTCTGTATTTCTGAAAGTATCGGACCAAATGGGGCCCTCCAAATTGTGTCAGCAACAATTTTCAAAATGGCGATGGGCCTCCTGACTGTTTTGAGGGCTGATTTTATCTGGAGAGAAATATCTTCAAAAGTCATTGGTTAAGCCACTGAAAATTGAAAGGAAAATGAAAGATGAGGAAGTGAGCTTTAATTTGATGTGTGTCTTGAACACCTGTGAAACTTGTGAGTATTTTTCCTGATATTTTGAAGTGGGGATATTTATCACTATTTGCTTGACTGGACCCATGGGATCTCCCTCTGTATGAAATGTTGCAGCGCCCCCTTTTGGCAATATAAAGCCAACCTTTCACTCCATCATTGGAAATATGGATGGCATTTTCTGGGACCTTCTAATCATCTCCAGTTTTGATTTCTCCAAAACTTCCCACCTTTCACTTCAATTCTAGCCCTTGAAGTGTCCATGCACATAACATCTTCTCTTAAAAAAAATGCACACAAAAAATGTTTCTCCAAACTCAACTACCCTGCAACTAGAACCAAACCGGAAGAAACTTAGGGCACTTGGTCCCTGCTTTTCTGCTGCTTAATCGGCATCTTGAGGACAACCAACATTTGGTGTCAGCGACCTAATGGTGTTACTGGTTGATAGACTCTCCAGACTGCTCCATACTCCCAAGAGCACAAAGGAATGTCAGATCCCAGAGCGACTCAGTATTTTCTCTCAGAATAAGAATGTTAAGGTAAGGAATAAGCAGGAAGACGGGAGCAAAAAAAAAAAAAAAATGAAGCACAACTCTTGGCCTTTCTAGACAAGAAAATTGCTTCTCAGATTTTTCCTCAAAGCCTTTTTTACAATTTGTTGATCGTGCAGCCATACAGCTAGGACCCCTTTGCAGTGATGCAATCACTGCCCATGATTGTGTGAGAATCATGGGCAGAAATCGGGGGGGGGGTACCAGTATAATCGTCCCGCCCACTTTTCAAGTCACTGCTATGCGCACCTTGGCTCTGCACCATCCATCATACTCATCACTTGCCAACATCACCATCTCACCTGGGATGGAGGCTGTGCTGAGCTTTCAGAAATCACCCCACTCCATGTGACAAGATGTCCTCATCCATGATGAGAATGAATGTGCCATCCTTGGCTGAATGCTGCTTATTCTTCATGGAGAAGTTGAATTTTGTACTGGTTGTTTGATCTCACGTATGTACATGTATCAGCAAGAAATTCAATCAAAATTTTTAATTCCTGTTGGTTGCCACATGCCTTGAAATCTGTGAGTGTCCCATTTATGATAGCCCTTCTTCTCAAATATCCCTCCAAGTTTTGCTCTGTTATTGAAATAAAGTTGGACCCACCTTTAGGTCATGCCAATCACGTTCAACCCCCCCCTTTCCCTCAAAAATGTCTCTAGTAATTCCATTTTCCATCTGTACACAAATAAGCAGTATTGTTCCAACTAACCATTTGGTCAGACTGGTGGTAATTGCTGGTAGTGGAAATTACACTGAGGTGATTTCCAAAAAAAAAAAAATTTGAAGGCCACATCAACCCTTTGCAGGTTTGGCCATTTCAGTCACAAGCTCAACCCTGTCAAAAAGGCAGCTTGGTAAAGAAATAACTGCTCTTTATTTTCTTTTTTCTATTCTCGCCACTCAGTCATGCAGGACCATATGATCGTAAGGTTTGTAAGTTTTGGAGAAATGCCCAGTGGAGATGATGTATCATCAATACATCAAATTGAAAGGGGGAAAAAGTTAAAAGTTCGGAAGACTCAAATGACACAAAACAAAATACCTTCCTCATTTGATTGCTTTCTCTTGCCTTTGAATTCAGCCAATAATGGCTGTCAACTGTGGAAAGACAAACTTCCTAAACCATTGTTGGATTAATTCTGTCTCGTTATTTATTATCTAGTGCTTTCTTGTTAGTTATTTCCTGCCCAAAACAAGCCATTGCTGAATCACTATTACTTTCATTTAACAGGAATTGGATTGACCGTGTCGTGACTTGCTTCTCAAATGAATGAAACATTTAAATAAAACAATAAAACATATAACTCATGATTGTCCTATTTCATCTGTTTCTTTATCTCTTTACCCTAACATTCCTCAGTCTTCCAACAGCTGAAGGACTGAGGATGGTTAGGCATCGTGATACTAATTTTTAGCATTTTTTCTCTTGATCTTGAATTTCCAAGGTTGTTCAATACTGTATGAGAAGTGGAAAAGTTGTTCGTTGCTTGAATATGCCATGAATTGTTTGCTTTAAAACTTTCATTTTTCAAACAACCTTCTGCTGAATCATGATAACTTTCATACTTGGCAGGAATTGGCTGACCATGATGGGGGAAAAAGAAATCCCATTTCCATCCGCTACGCAGTGTAATCCAGCAACTTAGCATTCTTCTTGGCAGCGTCAATACAAAGTAACAGTCTGTGGCAGGTAGCATAGCAGGATATCCTCAACATCGGGCAGATATTTCCTACATGTATCAAGTGATCTGTTCATGTACTTTTATCCTCCACGCATTTTATTGATAAAAGAATTTCCCAACATCTGTGTGTGAAGGTTACATCTGGCGGTGGCGCAGCCTAAACTAAACAAATTTCCTCGGAATTTCCGATAAGAGAAACTGTGATTGGCTTACCCCCCCAATGGGTTCAGAGGAAAATTGATTCAGTAATTTCCAATAACAGACTCAGGTAACAATATTTCTAGTGTATATCTGACATTGTCAAAATCTGTGCATTTGTGTTAAATTGAGAAAGTCCCAGCCCGTTGATCAAAATTCAGCTCAGGTTTTATCCTTCGTCATTCAGTGTAGCACCTTCACTTTGAATGTAAGTTTAAGTAGATGGATTGCGCTAAGGCACGTGACCTGTAGGGGGTATCAACCATTAACAAATTAAACATGGCAGACTCCAATAGCAAAGTGTGTTGTTTACCAAAAATGAAGCCAATTTTGGATATAGTACTCGGCACCTCAGTCTGTATAGTCTCAGTACTGTACCGACCGTCAGTTTTATTTTTGGTAAATGACACCTTTGACATACTTTGCTATGGGAGGATGCCATGTTTGTTGATGTTTGATATCCGTGATAGGTCACATGATTTAGTGGGCGCAACCGGTCTATTTAGTGATTGAGATAAAAATTCAAGCCTCTTCACACCATACTAAGCCCTAATACACCCATATGTTGATCGATCTTACACCACCAAGCGTTTCATCACAAATGACTTACTCTAACAACTGGCAAACCTTCATTACTACCAGTCTCTCTTAATACTTTCAGATCAATTTGTGTCCTTTAACTGAATGGAGAGAAGCCATAAAATTTCATGGGCTGTGACCCATACATTGATAAGGCCACTTTCATCCTATAAGCTTGCCCCCACACCAGATCTGGAGCTCTCTGCAGAACAAAAAATTCATTCTTAGCTCATAGCTCTTGGCTAAGCATGTGTGGCAGACTGAATGGTCTCTTTAAGACTTTTTGGTTTTGTGAGTCCCTGTACTTAATCTCCCCCCCCCAAGAAAAGATGTTTCAGTTTTCGCCAGTATCAGCCATGTCTATGTCTAGTGTCAGTGACAAGCCAACAATTCAACTGTACGTGGACCATTGCACTGAAACAGAAATTCTAGGCATTCGGTAAGCAGACCACAAGACCATATTGTATGTAAGGCGAACTTACAGTATGGGCTGACTTCCTGCTGTTTCATCTAATATCGCACCACCTCAATTTATTTTTTCAAGTCCATTTCCTGCGTTGAACAACCCTGTGCCAAGGACAGTGAACCATGTAGGTTTGTTGACCCCCCAAAATACTGCATATGACCCACACTGGGCAGACGGTCAACCATAGCAAATGGAACAGTAACCCATTTATTTGCAGTGTTGAAATGCTCTGTGATACACAATTGTTTGTGTGTGCCAGATCTAACGAAAAAAATAAATGAATAAAAAGGAAAAATGAGTGAATAAAATGAAATCGGCTCAGTCACCTTACCCTCCGCAATAGTCGCACTATAGGAGATACTTCCTACTTGTGGTGCATGTGTTTTTACCAAAGTCTTGAACTGTGAAGGGAAAACCCTCAATAAACCACAGGATACTTGTGTTCTGTGAATCCCTACTTTTGTTGGAGCAAGATAGTTCAGGAAATTTCTATGAGATATTCGTAGTTAGTTTCATAGTAGCCGTGAATTTATCCACAGCAAACACTGGAAGGTTTTGACAGGGGAATTGGTGAAGACAAAGTAAAACTGTCCGGTTTCCTTCCGCCATTTATTCCATGGTGGACTAACAGTAGGATGTTTATAGAGCAGCTAAGAAAAACCAGCATTGTAATTATGAAGCTTTTTGAAGTGTAAGCAAACAGGGTGCGCACTTTCAGCACCAGTGAATTTCCTGTTTTCCTTTTTCAGTACCACAAATCAAAGTCTTTGACAAGCTGTCCAACCATGAAAATTCCAAAAATAGCAGATAGGTTATAATCAAGAAAACATAGGAGTGTGAATGGGATTGGGGGCACAAACATGGTACCATTCTGATGTCTTCAAGTTGTTTTCTCCATAAGCACTATGCCTTATAGGTTCCAAGATTTCTTCCTCAAATTGGGCAGTTAGTGAAATTTTGAAGATATTGGACTATACCTGGTGACAATTTACTTGTAACAAAGAAACTTACCATCACTGCTTGAAGTACGTTTGGAGAAGTGTGAAAGTCCAACATGATGTCTG